AGGCTTACCAAGAAAAAGATGAATAGAAAAAGACAAAGTTGATAAACGCATTTGCCTGTCTTCAAGCAGTGCCATTGATTGCTCAGTTGCTGGTCTTCTGAGATAACTGTAAACACTTCTTTTAATTGCTCTGTGCCTCAGTTTCCCCATCTGCAAAATATCTGCTTCTCTAAAGGATTTTGAGATTCTTACACAAATGATCAAGGTGAATTTAGAGACTGGGTGGGAGCGTGGTTTACTTGTTAAAACAGATATTTACCAAGTCAGGTCATAACATGGAAGAAATACTGACATTTCATGCTCTTCCTAATAGCATTGGCTTAGGCTTAGCAGAGTAGCTTCCGAGGTGAGAGGTTACCCTTGGGAGCAGGGTATGCCTTTTGGGATGTGGCAGCAGCACTCCTTAAAAAAAGAGTGACTCTGAACTATGTGACTATGTGAACACTGACTCCCATAAAATATTACCCAGGTTTTCCCAGCACAATGTACAGCTTGATGATGACTGAAGTGGGCCAATGCGTGTACCAGGACTAAGTATAACATATGACAAATGTCCCTCCCACACAGTCATGAGGAACAGAGTCATCCTGTTTACTCCATGCAGACAGAGTCATCACACATTTTCTGCCCATGAGGTTATATTGTTTTCCTCAATTATCTGTTAAAACAACAGCAGTGAAATCCAGAGTGTTGTTGAGGTAGAAAGTTTCAGGTTGACGCTCCTGGAGAACTAGGAGATTTTGATCAGTCTCCATCTCCTAATGATGAGTGGAGTATGGGCTATAGTAGAGTAGGTTCCCATCCACTGGTGTGTGAAGGATCAGCATTTGCATCCAGGGTAGGTGTCTGCTGGGACCATCTGTTCACTGCAAGTTTTCTGCTGCACAGTGACAAGGTGGTGTCACCCTCTTCATCCTGGAGCTGCTGCGTGAGCGTGGAAGTGAAACTGGTTCATCTGGCTTGTAATGGGCAGAGTGCAAGCAGTAAGCAAACTGCATAGCTGATGGATGGTGAAGACGGAGAATCCCTGATGTAGCATTATTGTTGGTTTGTATCCCCTAAACCTGTCTCATAACAGTCTTTTTTTGCTTTTTTTTTTTTTTGCTTGTTTTTGAAGGGAGGTGTATGTGTATTGGTGGTATAGGAGGACTGGCTCGTAGTTTCTGAATTACACTGCTTTTTGTTATTTTCATTGATACATTAAAACGGAAAGCAAAGAACCACTGTAGAGAAAGAATCCGTTTCCTAGAAATGGAGGTATACTATTGCATTTGTGCTTTGAGGGGAGTGTAATGATGTGTTGAAGGTTCTTCTAGGTTCTTATAAGACAATAAATTGGTCAAGTAGAGCAATGAGCTGTATTCAGCTTGGTGACAGTACCCCAACTACCTGTCTATGCTATGAGTTTCTGCATGTCCTGTCCCTGAATTTGGAGCGGTCAGCGTCCTAGACTCTAATCAGCACGTGGCTGATTTTGTTGGAGACTGGGAGACTGGAAAAGCCTGATTTCCACTGATGTAAGTGTTGTGATTATGTAGGCTATGAGTAGCAGGGTGAGGTCACAGAGGGCTGGCTACAGCAGAGTAGAGTAGAGTTGCTGTGGATACAGAGCTGAGTCAGTGACCTCCCAGAAGACTGTGGATTCCGAACTTAGAAGGAGATGAGAAGACCTGGGGTTGCAAAGAGGATACCTGAAGGATTTATCTACCTATAGTACAAGATGGTCCCACAGTACCTTTGATTTTGATGGAAATCAGGCTGCTAAAAGCACTGTCGTTCTTCACAAAGGCATATCCAGCTCAGTTTACAGAATCAACGAAATGGGTACCTACCTTTTGAACAGAGCTGTACTTCTGCAGGGCAGAAGAGCTGAGTGTTGCTACCGATCTGGGCCAGCACACCCAGGTGGAATCCTTGGCTTGTTCTCACAGCTTCCGTTCCAGCCAACGTCTCCAGCCAGTGCTTCCTCCCCGCTGCCAGAGACAGGCAGCTCAGTCAATGTGTAGCCTGGCTCTTGAGTAGTGCTGTTCTGTTGCAAATCTGATGATGGTTATGGTTATGATTTCTGTTTTACAATGGGTGAGACTAAAGTATAGAGAGAGGATTCGGCTCAGTGGTAAAGTTGGGGCTGGAACCCAAATTTCCTACCTGGTTTATCAACTTGTCCTTCCAAAGCCCAGATGAGTTGTGTAGCATATGCAGGCCCATCTCGTGGGAGAGAGCTCCTTCATGTGATTGCAAGGGTAGTGATACTCTTGTCCAGGAGCAGAGTGCTTAGCCATTAGAAGCAGGGGAAGAAATAGTAGCTACCAGCATTTCCATGCTTCTAAACTCCCCAGCTCCAACACTCAAGGCTATCAGTGCTTTGTTTCATGGGACAATGGGATGGTGGGGGTTTAATGCTACCAATAAATAATGAGTTTTTTTATTTATTTTTTTAACTTGAAGCCTGATTTCAGCATGGACAAAGGAGCAGCGCTCATGTGGCAGCTCGAGGATTCACCTGGCAAAGCACGACAGCAAGAGCAAAGCTCTGATGAGGGAGGTGAATCAGAAGCGCCAGGACAGGCTGTAGGCAGCAAGGACAAGCTGCCCCAGAGACATACTCTCCAGTGGGAGACTTTAGCAAGACAGTTTGTGGAGTATGAACAGGTGGCCCCATTTCTCATCCCAGAGGAGCAAAAGAGAAGGCTGCTGGACTTTCTTCCGCTTTTTTTAAAGGTTTGTTCTCCTTATTGCCTTTGGTGTGAATGCTGAGGATACGGTTGAATTTCTGTGGTTGCATGCATTGTGTGGCCAGCGGTGTTACTTCAGCATGATTGCTGTTTCTAGGAGATATGCCCTTTTATTCCATTGGGAGGATAGGGAAATGCAGTTTCTTGTCCTCCTTTCGTCTACCTAACTTGTTACATTAGCATGACAAAAGTATATGAGAGCACCACTTTATTTGCGTGAATGGCTAAATACTATTCTTGGAGTCAAGGAATATGCTGATGAAACAGGTATGTTTCAAAGTGAGTACCATAAGAAGAGGTTACTGCATGTGTGTTTCATCTCTTCTATTACTGGGCGCAGTTTCAGCCTGGGGTAATGTGGTTGGGGCATGCAGCCAGCTAAGGCAAATGCAGGCACACCTACAGTCTCTAGGTGGAATTTTTGGGGTAATGACAGTGCTGATGTCTAAGTTTAGTACTTGAGAGAGAAGTTCTGTTACAGATTGGAAAACTGTGGCATGAGAAGATGAAGATCATACCATGGGTCAGGGACACGGCTTGGACCAGTAGTTAACAGGCTGCCCCACCTATTTGATTCCCTAGAGCTCCCATTAGCCAAAGATTTCTGAGACAGCCACGCTGGAAGGTGGTCCTGGGAGAGTCTTGTCACGAGTGGGAGCCTTGAGTGTTGCTTCTATTTGCTCAAGTGCGTGAAAAAGTGCAGGGGGCTATTTAGGTTGGTAGACGGTGCAGTGATACGATGGCAGAGCATGGTAGTGTGAGAGCCTAGTGGGAGAAGCAGAAAACCTGGCATATATTTAAATGTACTTAGGCCATGTCTCAGTGCGAAATAATTATTTTTCTCCAGAATTACCCAGGCTATGTATGGGCTATAAAATTTTGATCTGTGTTTTTATATTCTCTCACTAGGTGAGTCTTTCAGAAAGAAAATAAAAGTTGCTTTTTGGTCAAACCATGTTTTAGTGATGGCACATTTCAACCATCTGTACTTGTGAGTTTTCATGTTTCTTGAGTAACCATACTCAGACCCATCTGTTCCCCACCTAGCTGAGCCAGTTCTCTGAAAAGAATTTAGTGGGAGATGGAGAAGGGGAAGTTGTTAATGACATGGTCACTTCATCTGTGTGGGAACACCGGGGCATTCTGAAGTGAGAGGGACATTTTGAAATGTGCGTGCAGGGAAATCTCCTCAGTGCTATGAAATCTTTGGTGTCCATGACAATAAAGAAGAAATAATGTCTGGATAGTAAAGAACATTTCACTCAGCTGGATGGAGCATGAACCTGTGAAGTTTGCAAGTCTTGGTGCAGTGCAGGGCTATGAAATTGCTAGAGATGCCAGGGCCAGTCAACAGCACAGTAGGAGGTCACCCTGTGGTGTCAGTGTGATACAAACAGATTAAGTGCAAATTGAGTGGGTAGGACCTGGTGTCACCTGCAGCAAAGACTTTGTAATATCTGAGCACAGGCTTGCCCTGGTCAAAGACAGCGCAGACAAAATGAACAGCCTGAAAAAGCAGTGCGTAGCCTGGAGTCTCAGACCAGAAGTAGCCTTCTCACTTAATCTAAGTAGCGCTACAGACATTTTATATAATGACTGAAAAAAGCTTCTCTTTTCACTGCTTCCTCTTCACTTCTGAGTTTGTTTGCATAGAATTGTGCCCGTCCTGAACCAAAGCCCATATTTGGACAGAAGAGGTGTTGCTTTCCACATAGGTGCTTGTGTCACTGGAAACAAATCCCTCTCTCTCTCTCCTTGCACATGGCACTGCAAATGCTGGGACAGACTTGGCTTTCCAGACCTTACCACCACTTTATCAGCTCACAAAAATCCTGGCTTTGCAGAGGGCAGCGTTTCCTCCTCAGTCTTCAAAGACTGCTCTTCAAAGTTGGATCAATTCGCTAATACTGTTACAGTTCTCAGTAGAGGCACCTTCTTCTTCCATGGATCTAGCTTTTGAGTAGCTTGCCGCACGTACTGCGGTTCTTTCCCTGACGCAGCATAACAGTGAGGTGTAGCCCTTTTGCTTGAAGCAGGAGGCACCTGCTTCTCCTTTCTTGGAATTATATTTCCAGAACCCCTGTCTTCCTTCCTCTTCTGAGCTGCATAGGGAACACACATCCTTAAAGCTTTAAGGTATAGATTCACCCCAAAGAAAATAGGTTTGCTGCAGAAGGTAAGTTTTTCTCCAAACTTCCTCCTCTTTTGTGAGCAGTGTCCTGTGGGTTTCTTGTGAAATTCTTCTCTTGGGATTTTTCTGCCTCAGATTTTCAATGGAAATGAAATTCTCAGATTTAAAGTTTCTGAGTTCTATTGCAAATGTTTCACATGATTTGGTCTTTAACTACTGTGTGATGTACATGAAATAAGAAGGTCATTGCCAGGTAAGGTTATATAGAATAACTTCAGATTTGCTGATCATTAACTAAGTATGAACAGGGAGAATGTCTTCCATGGGAAGGTCATTTTTTGGGAGCAAAACGTTCAAAGGACTGAGGAAGCTGTTGCCACTGAACAAAGATGAAGAAAACTACAAAAATCTAGAAGTCTTATGAACTTTATGAAGTTTAGAGACAGCAAGGCAAGAAATCATGTATTTATGCTCAATCATACTTGAGGAAAAATAAAGTTTAGGACATCTGGGAAGAAGGCAGCTATTCCCCGGGAGGCTGTGTCACAAAGGCATTGGCTGTTTTGTGCATATGTAAACCAATCATACATTTTCCTTCCATAGAGCTAAACTTCCCATGCGTTAGGGTTTGTGGAAATTGATTTCCTGAGTTGTGCTAATGCTCACAAATCGGAAATTTTAAATTCCTGAAAGATATTATGACTTCAAAATGTATTGAAAATGGCGATGCAAATTTCTCATTGGCTTAACATTTGCTTTTCTGTCCTAAGAGATGGATTCTTGCACTCTCCTTTTCTGAGATGAATCAGTGGAGCTTTGCACTGCTGTGTAGGCATTTAGATTCAGATATATAGCTAGAGCATTCTGGCCTTGCCTCATAGATTCAAAAGTACGTTGTGGAGGATCTGGCCCTTTAGCTTTGAGTCATCATATCCTTCCCCATAAGACTTTTACTCCCTTGATGTAAGAGCTTCCTGTTTTGTGCCAAGCCCCTGGTCTGGCCTGGGAAAACACATCTCAGTTCAAACTGTACCTGCTGTAAAGCTATGGGAGCTGACCCTTGCCGCCTCCTGTTTAACTGGGGCCTCTGCAGAAGTAGTCTTCCTCCTTGGAGGATTTTCATTCCTGTTTTTTTTCCTTTCCTTATTTGATCGCTCAGGTGCCAGTGCATCTCTGTCTTTTTGTCTTAGAGTGCTTTGGCTTTTACCCTGGCTGGAGAGAGAAGGCACTAACCAGGGGCACAGTTGGGATGTGGGGGCTCATAACTCACTGATGTTTCTGGATGCAGGAGGAAAAGGTGTTGGAGGAAGATGTTAGTCATGTGCTTGTGATTCAGGCCCAGGCTGGGATTCATTTTAATGTGACCTCCGTAGTTTTCCCCTTGGTGCCTTAGAATGACAAAAGCATCAGAATGTTATATTACGTGGCTGGCTTTTGAGCTAGTATCTCTCCACAAAGGGCTCAGGAGCTCAGAAGGGAATATGTCATCCCCCTCACGCTGCAGCAGGATCTATGATTCCATGTAGGCTCTTCTGACACAGCGCTCTGTATAAAGCTGGCTGTGGATTTCTTGTCATTGTGTTTTCCTAGCCAGTTTTTGTTCCTTACAGATCTTCCTCCACTTTCTGCATCAGATGCAGAGTGACCAAGGGGCCTTGTGACTGCAACTGAGGTTCTCTAAAGATCATTTTTCATTGACATCTGAAAAAGTTATCTATTTTGTTAATATTTATTAAAAACGAACCCAGGAATACTGGGTGATTGCATTTCACTCTTTTGCAGCCAAAGTAAATGTAGTTTCAGAAAAGTCAGTGTAGTGCGCTCTGCATCTAATGAAGCAAAGAGAAGGTGCTGTCCTGATTGCTGTAGCTATTCTTTGCTTGCCTGATTGCAGGTGTGGCAAAAAGAACTCTTACTTTATGGGGGGGGAAAACAGCTTGTGTATGAGCAGCCTTCAGAGCAGAGAACAAACAAGCAATTGAAAGTAAAGGTAAGGAATGAAATATACTTGTAGAAGAGCTCAAAGAGTTGCACTGATTTCTTGGTAGCCGGTATTATGGGAAGTCTCCTCTAGATTGTTTTAGGAGAATAATTGCCTTATTTTTGTTACCTTCCTTTCATCATCTGGCCTTTACACCTTTATTTTTTTGGATTGAGCTTATTGCAGGAGGAGACTGTTGTAAAGGAACTTTTTAAGGTTGCTGGGGACAAAGGTGTCCCATCCTGATCTTTGGATGTGTCTGCAGCACTGTTGCTAAGTTATATACTAGTGTATGTGGTGTTGGAAGTTTGGTATAAAAGTAATGGTACCTGACTTAGAGAGACTAACTGGCTATGATAGCATTAGTCTACTGGCATCTTTTATGTTGCTTTTGAGATTAAACTATTTTTAGAAGTCTGGGCTAAGAAACATTTAATAGGGAATCTTTTTGTCAGGGTCAGAGCAGGGAACCACAGATCAAGTCTTGTTGTTCCTTCTGTTGTCGGTTCTGCATTGATTTGCTTGTCCGTTCTTGAACAAGTAATTTTTAAATCAAATATTGTTTTCCTTTACTAGCTATTTAGGACAATGCCTTCCTGTTTAGGGGTTCTTGTTGTAGTTTAGGAAATGTTTAGAAGTCCTGGGCTGGTAAATGTTCATTGTCATAATTTCAACACTTCAGAAGTGCTGCTTTTTCTATAATGGAACTGAACTATATTCAGGATTTAAGCTGGTTTGTAAATATACCAGGCAGGAGTGTCACTCCTGGCGTTGCAGCATACATGGCTCTTAACCACAGAGTCAAATGGGTTAAATCAACTCATATAATTGCTGGAAAAGCATATCCAGTGCCTTCTGGGCTAGGGTGTTGCTGCTGTTCAGCTCCTCTTCTATACTTCGTTTCATTTCCTTAGTTCATAACAAAAGTTATTTCTGTCCTGCAAGAAATTCTGAGTTTTATGGCCCTTACTTTCATCCCAGACAAGGGTAGAATTGAAAGGCAGAAAACTTAGGCATGCTTAACTAAAATCTCTCGGAATTTTTGTTTTGTTCTGTGATTTTTGTTGTTGTTGTTTTTTGGGTCCCTCCCCAGCAAGTCAAATCAACTTCTTGAGCTGAAAGAAGTAGTTCAGTTTCAAGAGAGCCTTAGTGGTAAAGTACCTCCTGGGAGCTGTAGTCCTGTATTATTATGGCTTCTTTGTGACAAATCTGTTGCAGTGCTCCAAAGGCGCTGCAGTTCCAGTTCTGTTTCAGACTCTAAGTAGCTGAGACTGTGCAGTGAGTTGTTGAACTTGGAAAATGCTTCTTAAAATTTTATTTCTACTTAATTGAAAATTCATTTTTTTGCTGATGATGAGCTTCAATTTTGGGAGACAAGTTTCTGAAGAAGAAAAGGCTTTTATTGGAAAACTTTTAGACAGCTGCAGATGTAACCTCTTCGGGGTACAGAGTGTACATACTGTATTTAGAAAGGGACTAGCATGCTTTTTCATACAAATAATTAGCAGTGCTCTGGCTATGACATACTCTTACACTGTTTTGATTGTATGCATTGGGGGAAATAATATCAGTGTTCTCTAGCGGGTCCGTTATATGATTCAAAAGGTAGTTCCAAGTTGACTCCTCTATCTGTGGTGCTAGGCTCCTGCCTTTCTGGCAGGATGGTACTGCTTGATGGTCCTGGTTGGGGAAGGAATTGTGGAGGCAAATATTAACTTTCTGTTTATTTGTTTACATGTGTTAGTACTTCTCAATACACCAATGACATGCTGTATAAAAAACGTTTGAACAGTTGCTCCTGCTTGGGTTTCAGGCCTGGGAACAGTCTGCTGGAGCAATTGTATTTCCCAACGTTCAGCTGTTAGCCAGCGAGGTTTCCAAACTTCTGACGAAAGAGATTAAGAACCACCTCAATGGCAAGCCTGCAGGTAATGATCATGTACCACATCCATTGTGTGCTTGTTCTGTGGCTGTGCTGTTTATTCAGCTGTCGTCCATGTTACAATACGCACTTAGCTTGAGGGAAATAAAGGGGGAACAGAAAACGCTAAACGTAGTAACTCAGATCTTTTAGTCGCTGTGAACTAGCATTGGTATTCAACAGTTGCACTGAAAATCTGGTCTTGTGTGCATGCCATGTTGGCCATGGTTTTGGAACCTTTGCAGGTGGAAATGTAGAATACTGGAGAAACACAGTAAAATAGCATGTTACGTTTACTTTTCTGAGAAGCTTTGTTAACGGGAAAAGTACTGCTAGCCCTGCATAGCTTTCCTGTTGGCTGTCATATGCTCTTTGCATTGGTCAGCTGCCAGACTTGATGAGCTTATCTGGTGTTCCTGGTGAAGCTTGTAACTTTGTGAAACATCTAGTTCACTGGCCCGAGCCTGGTGCTGGATCAAGATCCTTTTAAGTCCTTCCATTCATTTCAGCATGCTTCTGTTACTATAGTTTTGTTAAATTTGTCAGATCTGTTAAGAGAGGACCAATGAGGTATTTTCATCTTTCATTAAGGAATTGAAGTTTAATGTTTTTGTGATAACAGAGGAAGCTCGGTTGGCCTTGGAGCAACTGCTGCAACAGAAAAGGGAAGTGGAAGATGGCCATGTGCTCCTGAAATCGGTGTATCTGCTCTCACAGACTGACTTGGTAAGAGAAGTGACTACAAAGGCTTTTTGGTTTGGTTTATTTTCTCCTTTTTAGTTCTGAAAAGTTGAGCAGCAATCCCAGCAGTGGAACAGCTACATCTCATAATGTATGTTCTATCCCCAGTGCTCTGAACATCAGCGTGCTCAGAGTATGCAGTCAGTTAGAGGACACCCCACCAGGTTTACAATCCAGGCTTTTAAAAAAAGAGGGGAGTAGTGGTATGTCAGATGCATTTTTTTATTTTGATCATAGGCAGCTCTTTTTTCTAGTGTTTCTCTGATTTTTCTCCAAAGCCTATCTCTGCTCTTCAGGCTTTCTTTGTTACTCCAGCTTACATGTTAAGGAGATGACTAAGCAAGGATATCTCTCTGTCTGATAATGCTGCAGTTAGTCTTCATTGTGATGGCCTCTTACTTTGAAGCACTGCAAAGCATTTCATAAACTCTGCTTGTACAGCAGCCCTGAATGCTGACTGGCGTCAGCAATACTGCCTGCTGGTGGGGTAGAAGGGGTGCAGTTATCCCCAGCATGGAGCTGAACAGTTTGTGTCCATCTTATTCAGATGAAAACGAAATCTTACTGTCAGCTGTTAATGGACATGATCTGTGTCACAGGAAAGAGCTCCATAAAATTATACCTTGGTAGTCACAGCATGAAGTTCTTGGTGAGGTTTGCGCTTTTTGCAAGTCTAAGACATGTTGCCATTTTTTGTAGCACAGCCTACCACAACACTTGATGTCACAAGCCTGTTCTGTTCAGGTGGTCGTTATTGCTGTTGTCTGCCAAGCAAGCACGCTGCAACGTTTCCTCTTCTCTGCGAGTTTTACAGGGCCATGGTGGAGATGGGCAGAAACTAAGTCCCAAGAGAAAAGCTAAGGCCTATGGAAAGAATGTGCTTTTTCATTTATAAAGATATGATTAGAAGTGTGTGTGCAGTTACTTAATGGATTACAAATATAAAGGCATTATACAATTATATATTATACAATTATAAAGGCATTATAGCTAAACTGGCACTACGCTGTGTCAAGGATGGAACAAAGACCTGTGCTTTTAACATAGCAAGCATCTATAGCTATAGGCTCTCCAGTGAACTAATGATAAAGGCGCTCTCTGCCCTAGGGCTTACTGCTAGTTAACTGCTAGTTTGCAGATTAGATGCTTTATCTCTTGCAGGCCTTCTAATGCAGGACGTGCTTAGTAACTCTGTCAAAGCCCTAATTCAGCTGGGGCAGGAAGTCCTGGGAGCAGCTGGCAACATGCCGTCCATGTGTTTGTTTCCACCAAATGGATTTGTACAGTGGTGGCATGTGGTTGCCATGCTTGTGTGCTCTAGAGCAGTTGTAAGAATAAAATGCTTAAGTAGCTGGTTCATGTGCCATGACTGCAACCAGTGTGCACATACAGCACAAGGAAAGTGCAGTCAGTTTCTGGAGGGGCTGATTTTGATTTTTCCTTGCTTAGAGGACTCTGTGGAACATCATTGGATCTGGCCTTCCAGCTGCTCTGATGCAATGCCTGTACCTTTTCTTTACTTTTCCTCTGAAGAAAGCCAGTGATGATGGAGAGAGAAGTGAGGCTGACACTCAAATTCAGGAGATGCTTGTTCAGGTGAGATGCTCCTTTGAGTGTTTCTTTGCCCTGAGCAAAGAACGTTCACTCAGACTTTGAATTGGAACTAGTGCCTGTTTTATTTTGCCATCCTCCTGATACTTGTTATAAATGCTTTTCAGTCCCTACATTTAGTCCTTTCTTTGGTGACATTTGAACCAATCTGAGATGACGCTGCTATAGCTTTTATTTTGTTGTTAAACAAAATAGTGTGACTTTGTAAATTGGAAAAAATCCATTTAGAATATCCTAATGGTAGTTTTACTTGTTCTTTTCACTCCATCCTTCCTCTGGCATCAGTATCAAATTGTGATTCCCTCCCCCCAATTAAACTTCCCCAAAGCTGGTGATGGATGGGACCACCTATGTTTTGATTTTTTTTGTTCTTCAGTTAGACCTGATTTACAGCATCAAGTTTTTATTCACTTATTCCTGTGTTTAGGTGTTTGGGAGGGCTTTGATACTATGGTGCTACAGTCCCCTGTGAGCTCTGAAGTGACCTCGCCCAGAGTTTTGTGTTACTTTGGTTTGCGGTGGGTGTGTACAGCTATGGTCAGGTTGGGTACCTGCTGGCCAGTGGATCTTTATACCTCTCCCAGATATTTGCAGGCGTGTGTACTGCAGTTGATGTTTGTCTGTTTTTCAGATAATGCATAATATATACAAAGAGGAACAAGGTGTGGAGGAACTTCTGGCAGCTGATAAACTTCAGTCATTAATTATAGCAACAGCTTCCCTCTGGGACCAGTGTAGCCCTTCATGGAAAGTACCCACAGGCCATGTGCTGCGAACAATTTCAAAGGCTCAGACCAAAAACAGCATTGTGTACCTCCAAGGTTTGGTTTAGTAATTTGGCTTTTCATTTTCTCATACTTGCCCTGAGAATGAATTCACAAGAAGAGTCTCCCTGGGGAGAGACTTTTATCTCTACATCATCTGGTAGTCAGTCATCTGCAAAGTATGGGCTTTTGACTTTCTAGATAGGAGCATTGTTTAGTGCTAATAGAAAACTGGATGCTGATATTTTTTTTTTTTTTTTGGGGGGGGGGGGGGGGGGGGGGGGGGGGGTGCAGGCAGGAGCCTGTCCCACCCAGTCCCACTGATGTGGGCAACCGCAAGATGTATTACTTTTAGTTATGCGACTTGACATTGAGTCTAAGCCTCATCAACACTAAATGCTGTTCCTCTGGCAGTATCTTCAGTCTTGTATCTTTTGGGAAAATGTCATAATTGGTTCCGAGTGATACCCTCATTTTTTCCTAGGCTATGTTAGAGTAAGCAATTTTCATGTTACTAAGAACTGTAAAGGTCGTTAGTTTCTTACAAGGAAAAACATCAGTATAGTTTTTGTATTTTTTTAGATTGATTTTGTTTGTTTGTTTTAATTGGGTTTCCTGGGTGAGACTGAAAGACTGAGGAATAATAGTTAGTCCTGAGAGCAGTGAACTGTTTAGGAATTTGGAAGCTCTACTGGGAGGATTGGCCATCAGGTTAGATGAGTAAGGCTAGATTGCATTGCTCAGAGCAAAAATATATGTATATATGTGTGTATATGTATATATCTATGTACGTTTATGTATATACACATATCACATTACACATGCCTTATTGAACAAAGAATTAATCTGTGAACGCTGTACAAAATGTATGATTGACTTAGTGTAAGACAACTAAATATTTCAGCTTCCACTTAGCTTGTACTAAGACAGCTGGATTCATTATGTTATCAGTTTTGCTGGGTGGGTGGGACATTTACTGAGACTGAATCAGCTTTTAGGGGTTAGGCGAGGAAATGTGTTCATGCTTTTGAAGGAAAAAAAAAAAAAAGAAATGTTCTTTGTGTAGCCTATGAGTGTGATTTTTTTTTTCATATTTTCTCCTCCCTTTTTCCTCCAGAAAAAGAGTTGACTGCCTCTATTTTATTGGGAAATAACTTTTCAAGCATATTGTTCCATTTTTACTGTAACTTTGCACTTGTTTGACTGTCAGTCCTTACATACTTACTATAACTTTTTTCACAGCTGTGGACTGCATTAAGATATCTATTCAGAATCTCTTTAAACTGACTGATGCCTTACCTCCTCATGACATGTGTGAAGCTGTTAGTATCATCTTGTGTTTTGTGAAAGACTCGTATCCCATATCATCAGCTTTATTAACAGAGTTTGAGAGTAATGATGGCTACCAACTCCTGCTAAAAATTTTACTCAGGCAAGTATAGAGGTTTTTAGTGAGTTTCTAGAGGATGGTAAAACTTCATTTTCAGAAGGTATGATTTTGTTTTAAAATGTAGAATGCCTAGGTAATTCCATGTGGATGCAAAAAGCCAGTAATAAAGACCCTGATGCTACAAACCGCATTGCTATTTTAGGAGGGGAAGCAGGGCATAACTTCTCCTTCTGAAACCACAAGGGAAATTAACTTTAGGAGAAGTTAGTCTAGAGGTGGGGCAGGGGCTTACCAATTACAAGGCAATGGCTTTTCATCAGTTTTTAGTATTAGGAGGGATCAAGGTCAGAGACACTGCACTCTCATTTCAGTTAAGTAAACTCTTAATCCAGGAAAGCAGTGAGCTAGGGAGAGAAAGCCGATCTCTTTGTTGCACAAATGAAAATAAAATAATAATTTAAAAAAAACCCCAAACTTATCTTACGTCTGAATGGTTAAATTCTTCAGAACTGAGATAAATATGAACATAGCAGGACCAAACCTCACTAGTTATCCTAATCAAAAGTACAAAGTAGCATCTTTTACTCCCACTGTCATTTGCATTGTCTAATCAGGCTCTGAGTTTGCTCTGTCAGAACTGTGCCTTATATCACTTCCCCAGAAGCACTTAGCAGCTTTGTTCTGGGTGGTGGTTTTTTTTTTTTTTTTTAATATCATATGAGGAGAGTGCTTCTGAATCTTCTTGATCCATTGTCGTTTCCACAACGGCTTTGCCTTTCTTGTCCAGCGCTTGTTAGAGCATTGATTCTCGATCAGTGGCTTAGCCTGTGAGAGTGATCTTGTAGTTGGAATCTAGACAATTGTAATTTGGATCATGATTCCAATGATGTCCACAGGTGAGCGTTCTTTGTGATGATTTTTGGACTGTGCAAAATTACTGACCTACAGCCAGAAAAAGAGTTTGTCTCTGGTTTGGTTTTTTTGCATTTTTTTTTCCTCCTGGCAGTTTGTTCTTTAGACACCATAATTTGTCTATCTTTCCCTCAGAAGTGAGCTGTGAGAGATTAATACTTCTAATGAAGTTGTATCCATGTAAGGGCATAAACAGCTAAGTTATATCAGTAAGGGCTATGAATGCCTCCTTCCTTTTTAAATGGTATAACTAGGCAGGAGAGAAATAGCATGCAGGTTTTCAGGGCTTCAGATTTGTCTCCCTTCCCAGCGTTTGCTGGCAGAGAGAGAAGAGAGAGAGAGAATTTCTTTCCTGAATTCTTTTTTATGAGCAGATTTCCTCTGCTCTGATGCTTGAAATTTGTTCTTCATGTAAAGATAGTCCTGCTACTATGGTTCTTCCCTGCTGACAACGGACCCTAGCATTTGCCCTGGCCCTGTTTTTTCTTGATTGGTTTGAAACAAAACAAAACATGTTTTGTTTTTTGTTTTGTTTTTTTTTCTTCTTCTGAGTGATTTCCCTAACTTCCAGTGTCAGCCTATTGCTCTGCCACTAACCCAGATACTGCCATTTTTCTGAAGAATTAACTCCCTCTTAAGCACCACAGAACAGGACAACATGATAAGTAGCTGTCTCTGACATTTGACAGACTCTTGCTTCAGTCTAAACTATGGCAAATCTAGGCTACAGCTCAAACCATTTCATTACCCGGAAGAGACGTTGACACGCTATCATCTTGTCTCATTCACAAAGTCTGGGCTAAAAAAATATTTTCTCTCCTCAAAGGTTGAGATTTTTCTATTAGTTACCTCATTTAGCAGATCCTTTACCAAGCATGTATCTGCTTTTTCTTGGGAAGTGTAATCTTGGCCTGGATCAAAAAAAGCATATGAATGGTCTATTTTAATTTTTTTGATCTCTCATCAAAATTTTATTTTTTTATCCACCAAAACAGCACTCTCTTTGAGAGAATTATTCTTTTTTTTTCAATGTGCATGTAATTGGAATGAATTCCAAACTATACTCCTTTTCTTCAGAAGACTCTTACATCGTCACTTCAGTTTTCTTTTTCAGTTTGTGATTTTTGTTCTGATGCAGTATGTGGCACCACAGTGTGGGGTTACTATTTGTAGGATGATTAAACAAGTCGTAGAAGCAAGACAGAAAGACAGAAAGATAGTTTGGATGGAGGAAGTAATATGGGTAGTTCTTGTGTGCTCAGTATGTAGTGGTGTGTTGAAAGCGTTTGTATTACTGAAGCATGATCATGTGACTGTCCCAACCTTTGTTTCTAGATGTGAGGGGCTGCACAAAAGTGAAGACGACCCATATCTGGCAGAGATTCTGGACATGCTGACTTGCCTAACAACGTGTGGAAAAACTGAACTAAAAGTTTCTGGCAATATTGCACACCCGCAACTACCACACTTTAATTTTCAGCCGACACGGTCTTCTGGTACAGTGTATGCATGTGGCTATGTAGGCGAGTCACAGAAGAATGAGACAGCATCTGCTGATCTGTGTGCTTAGTGCTGCAGGCACCTAAACAGTACCTACATCAGAGAGAACTGACCATGCCAGCTGTAGGGACTGATTCCAGGTTGAGGACATGCCTCCCAGTCACATCCCTTGGGTCTGTGACCCATGTTTACACTCTCAGATACGATTTAACTTTATAGTAATGGTGCTTGCAGTGAGTCTTAAATAGCATTGTTGTAAAAATATCTCACTTGCTTTTATCTCATAGGAATGACAGTGAAAAACCTCCAGGCTTTTCAGGTGCTGCAGTCTGTTTTCCAGAAAAGTAATGATGAGCACCTCTGTAGGAGAATCTTAGCAGCAATTGGTACTATATGGGCCTGGGATGCAGTGAACTTCTTTCTCCTGGAATGGACACTACAACCTATCAGTCAGTTTACTGACATCATCCACTTCAAACCACACACGGTGCAGGTTCATTTCTTCAAGCTGGTGGAGTCAGTGGTGCTAGACTTATCCTACATCCCCCATGAAATTTTGAAGAAGGTTCAGTATTTAGTGAAGGAAAATGTAGTGCCTTTCTGCACCTTAACAGCTCTCCGATGCCTTCTCAGCATGACCAAGAAGGACCTGCTATTCGCTGATATATTCCGTGACTCTGGTCTCTTAGGCCTCCTGCTGGCACTTTTGAGAAAGCAAGCCAAAATCCTGAGGAAGTCAGGTACTTATGGCATTCATAATGACTGTTCAGGCAGACAGATCAATAGGAATGAATGAACCTCTTTGCATAACCGATTTATAAGTTTTATATACTGAGCAGATAGAATTTATCTGGAAGCAACCTGGCCTAGGCTGTTCAAATTCATGGGATGTTTTTATTATGCCAGACTGGGTCCTCTCTGAAATCTTAACTCTTTTGTCATTCTGCCAAATTTCCTGAACAGTTCATGGGCTGTTCTTCACCAGTGTACTACAAATTATTCTGTGGGGTGCCAGCCAGCTCACATTTATGAACTGGCATCAGTTTGTGGTTCTCTGGGACCCCGACTTCACAGAAGAGGAAGAAACAGGCAGAAGTGTCACTTAGATGTCTTCTGTGGTCAGTTTTCTGCAGTGCGTATTCTCTCTGAGAATAACACTTATTCCTGGGGACGGACAATGGAAGGCAATCTCTGGAACTTTGGCCAACTGTTACCCACAATTACCACTGCCCGTTGTTATCTGATGTAGTTATATTCTGAAAACAGGAAGGTCATGGTCCTGATGTGGTAACTGTGGGATACAGATAACTTGTGGTACAGACGTGCATACTTAAGTGTGTTTTGGATTTGTTTTGTTTTGTTTTTTTAACTGCTATTTTAAAGAAAGCTAGATGTGTGAAAGAAGTATCTGGGCTGTATCAAGCAGGAAATTCCTCTGAATTTCAGAATAATGGTCAATTAGTAAAGGGGGAGGGACCCAAACAGATTCTCAGAGTACTAGATATAACTTTTGATGTAACAAATGTAATTGTATAATTTATATAAGTTTATTCCAAGGAACAGAATAAGTGTGAATTGCAATGTAAGTTCCGGAGTGCAGACATCCATTACCCGCAGGGAAATTTATGTTTGCGTTTTCAATGCCAAGTACTTAAAGTTTTGTACTAAAGTACTTAAATACCGTCAAGATAAATACAATGGTTGTTGAAAACTTACCTTCTGGATATCAGTTAGCTGGTGTGTAGAGCTGTCTTCTGCCTTTGTATAAATTTCACTGCATTAGATGACTTCATGACCTAAACTGTACAGAGTAAGTGATTAAATGACTGGATGACTTGTAATTTTATACACAAAGTTGAAGAGAAGCAGGTGGGAATGTACTGGTTGAAGGGATCACTATTCTTGTCTCTTGGTTTCCAGGAATTTAGTCTGCAGACTTCAAGATCTTTAGATCTAAAAATAACCTACCTTATACTATGTGATCCTAGAAATGTTTACCTGTGAACATGTATGGGGTTTCTGCTCTGCACTTTTAGTTTAGGCATTTGCATACTCCCTACTGATAAAATATTTTACCATTTTGCACCTCACAATCTTTAATGTTCTTTTGTTTCTGTATAGCTTCACTAGGTATCACTAAGCTCGAAGCTCCATATCAGTTTGACAGATGGGAAACGAAGGCACAGCCATTACAGATCCTGCCTATAGTCATGCAGGAGATCTTTGTTGCAGAGCATAGAATCAAACCTGTGTTTTTTAATCCCACACTAGACCCTAATCCCTAGACAGTGCCCTGTCTATATTCTGTTGCTCACTTTGGGTTTCGAGTAGCCTCTTAATAGCTATTTGAGAGAACTAGAATTTCCTGGAGAATTTTTTTTCTTTTTTCTGGTATTTTAGCTACATGTAGCCACATGCCTTGTATAAATTGTATTGTTGTTTTTAATACACTAACAGCTGGAACCCAAGCGCCCATCCTGGAAGAAGGCACTGAGAAGGAATTAAATGCAGTGATGCTGAAGATGGTGGCTGCCCTTACTGTTGGGTCCGTGAGAAACGCTGGTAAGAAATGGCACATGACTCTTATCTCTGTGATACTTGATGATAAGTGGCTGAGGTGCATCTTAAGAAGCACCAGAAAATTTTCTGACTTTGTGCTTTGTTCAGAAGTGGAGAAGAAAAGCTACAAGTGTAGGGATGATTATATTATACCAGGAAGAAATGTTGCAGGCATTCACATCTTCGTAATGAGCCTTACCCCGGTAGTCACTCTACTCCCCTCATCTGTGTGGATACCTCTGAAGTGTTTACACAGAAAACACAAACTTAGCTGTTAGCAATGGAAAACAGAATTATGCATGTGACTTTTATGGATTGTCTGTTAGCTGGGTTTTCTTCTACGATATCTATTATGAGAAATCTTGATGCGATCAGACATACTGATTTATACTCATGCATTTGGTATTGGCACACTTAAGAGAGGTGTATGTGTATGGGAAATCCTGTGAACATAGAATACAGGAGCGAAAGAATCTTTTGAATACTGTAGTCCTCTCATTTAATTCATTCTCAAATGTAAGAATCATCACATTTGCAGCATCTCACACAGTAGAAATGTATTGTCACAAACTACCATATCATACAGTCCCCTTCAAAAACTGAAAAAGCGTGCAAGCTTAAAAATAATTAGGAGTCCTTTTTCTTCCCATACCCATTGTATTGGGTCATCTCTGAGAGCTGTCATCTCTGATCAGAAACTATGGTCACCAAGAGTCATTGCATCCCCAGTTGTTCTTGTGTGCTTCAGTTTGTGACCTTTAGCTTAACTAGCTTTTCTCCTTGCTTCTCCTACCGTTTTTTTTAGAAACGTAGCACTGCACACCAACACTGAAATCTGCTTCTGAAAACTACAAGTAAAGGATAGTTAAAGTAACAAATGCTACCTTATTTGTCTCCAGTTGTTTTAAAGGACTATGGGATGGTGCCATACATCAAGATATTTTTGGATGATGAGTGCTACAGGAGTGCTACTCTCAGCATCTTGGAGCAGCTCTCAGTAATCAACTATGAAGAATATATGAGCATTGTTATTGGGGCCCTCTGTTCTTCTACTCAAGGAGAACTACGCCTGAAACTAGATCTGCTGAAGGTAATGTGGCTTCCCACTTGGCTTGTTGTTTTCTTTGAAACTGCTTGGCTGGTGTCAAGTGGCTCTTAATATCACCCCCAGCATTGTATTTTTCCAAGAAGGTAAGTGCAGAAGAAACAAACTATGAGCCAATTTTTGATTCTGGAAATTGGATTCTTTCATTTTTAGTGATGTGTATGTGGCCAGTACCTTCACTCAACATCAGACTGTGCAGTATTTTGAAGACTTAAATAGTAATACAGGACAGAGAAATAGGAATTGCAAATGCTAGGACACAGTTGCATGTGCAGTTACATGTAACATGACAGAGAATGAAAGGAGAAGCAAATATGAGGGAAAGCAGAAATTTGGAAGAAGGATGTGAGAAAAGGTAAAGGCGTGAGATTGTCCTGAATTGAGGGGTGAGGTAGGCATAAGATGAACAGCTTGATTCTAATACGATTTCCAAGATTGGAACTTTATTGTCCTTAATTTGGCAATCTCTTGCATACACCAGTTTGGGGATGAAATATGGAGGTGGGGATGAAATATGGAGGTGGGGGTGAGAAGTGTTCCTATGAATGTTGGAAGGATGAAATTCGACTTATTCATAGCTCCACTGTGCTTATAAAAGGCTTGATCCATAACCTATTGAGAATAAAGAATCCCTGGGCTCTATTTTGGTTTAGATTATAAACATCAGATCAGAAAGCAGCAGTATTCTAAGCAATGACTTAAAATTTCACTCCAACTTCTCTACCAAGTGTGAACTGAATTCATCTTTCAGCACAATGTAGCAACTGCTTCTGTGATAAAAGAGCTATATTACTTGGAAAAAAAATGTGATAAACTTTATAGCTTTGTTTTGAAACAACAAACTTTAACAACATCTATGGAGAAGTTGAGTATGGTGTCCAAACTAATATGAAAATAAATGCAACTTCAGTGTCTAATTCTGACAAATGATAACTGTATTAAAACATAATGTAAGCAGATGAATTTATTATCAACATCCATTGGGACTATGATTGTGTTACACACAAATTCAGATTGATTTGCTAATATATATTTAGCTGTTAAAGCCTGAGCCCAAATGCAATTAGCACTGCTGTATTCTAGTGTGGCACGTGGACAATTATGAGGAATAACAAATAATGGAATGTGAAATAGATTCTGTTAGCGTTAACTGAGTTAGGGGGTTTCCAGCAGACATCAGTTTTATAGATTCAGGGCAGAGGAATACTAACTCATAGGCGATTAAATTGTAACTGAGTTAGAGCTGGAGGAGATGTGGTTACTGCTGACCTTCCCTGAAACGTGTTAAAGCCATCCTGATAACTTCAACTCTGAGTTATTAAATTTACTCCCTGTTCAGAAGTCTCTGCCTGGTTTGATAGGTTATCATGCAAAATTGAATGACGGTAATAGAGTTCCCCCTCCCCCTCCAGTTGTGGCAACATAGTCCTGGATCCTGTTACAAAGAGATATTTATGGTAGAACTTTTCCTCTTGAGCAGACTGCAAAGTGAACCTCTTTCACTGGGTATCTTTGGGGAAACGTTATATGTGAAATTAGGCCTTTCCAAAATAAAATGGCACAGCCTCAAATTTGGAAGGACCCATATGCCTGAAAGAGCAGTTTCTTCATTAAATGGATTGTGCAGCATCCCAAAAACCTGTGAAGGATTAAATCCAAATGCAGTAGACACAAGCTCTCTTCTCACTGACTTGACTTTGCGCCACTATAACCAATAGCTTTGCTGGTTTCGTTTCAGAACGAGGACAGAATCAGGCCCATAGCATTAAAATTTTACAAGTGGAATAGGCTAGGTTTTCTATGCATGTGTGATATCATCAAGCAGCATTCACTTGTAACCTCCTCTAAGCCCACTGCAGTTACAGGAAACCTGATGAATTCATTGGTTTTGGATGTGACTCTGTGGCTTTTTTCCTTTGAACTGCTGTGCAAACTTTAAACTTGCCCCTATTGAGAGAGGGAGCTGCTATTGCCTTTCTTTTGAGGAGAGCCTGCTGCTTGCAGTATTCTTTGGGCCATGCTGGCTCACTGTTTTTCTTAGAGTGGGTCCGCTCAGTCATAAGTTTACCATAGAGCACAAGTTTAGTGTGCCTGTGCATGTGTATTCAGGGCTGGAGCTGTGCCTTCTTCCTGGTTTCTGTATGAGATTACTTACAGTTGAATCTCTGCTTTCATTTATTTAGGGCGAATCTGGAGAGTTGAGAGAGTTTGAGAAGATAGATGAGGGTAGCTAAAGGTCTGAAACACAAGCTGTGGCCAAACTGACTAGATTATGTAAGGCAGGAAATTTTGCGTCTCTGCTGGTTCCTGTCAGCACCGTTCCCTGGCTGACTGTGTGGATTTCTCCAGACAGTATATTTAGATCTCTGATGTTTGACTCATTGGGAACAGGAGGATGGCAGAAGGAAGAAGATTGTGCGGTGGTAACCTTTTCTTTGCCCAACAATTTTTTCCCAAAGAGCGGAATTTCAATGAAAGTTTGTGTTTTTGGGTTTTTTTTTTTTTAAATTAACTTGGAATTTGGAAGTATTCTGAAGCTCATTTCTCCTTTGTGTGCTATTGGTTTAAATGCTTCTTTTGTCTTCTTTCTTCCTAATGTTTGTAGTCATTGCTAAGGATACTGGAGAGTCCTAAGAGCCATTCAGCTTTCAGAACTTGCAGTGGGTTCAATGGGCTCCTGTCCCTTCTCTCAGACATGGAAGGTGCATTGCAGGACCCTCCATCTGGGCTGTGGGCAGCAGTTGGACACAACTGCATTTTGGAACTTGTTTTCTACACGCTTCAAGGGATAACAGCAGCCCTACACCTGGATCCTGTCAATAGCAACTTCTTCCAGAGGAATGGCCTCTTTGAAAAGATGGCAGAGGATCTTGGGACACTTGGCTGTTTCTGGACTCAAGGAGAATGGCAAATTCCTCTAGGCCTTGAGAAGACGAGGACGTTTGCAGAATTCTTGGATGCAGCTTTTTGTTCCTCGGAACCTTTTCCAATGTGGCTGAAAAACTGCATATGGATTCTGAATTTTCTTGATCACATGGTCAAAGGGACCCTCCATCTGGAGAGCTACTTCAAGGAGATGAAGCAAGAAGTGGAAGAGGCATCAAGAAATAATCAGGAGGAACCTCAAGCTCAAGAAGAGCATCCTGTGACTTTCAGAAAACCAGGCAACAAATTACCTGCTTCTGCATATAGGCCATGGGGAAACCCTGAAGAGAAGTAAGTCCTTATTTGCTACAGAAAATATAATGGTAAGGCTGGTATTTGCATTTTATATGGTGGTAAACTGAGGCATGGAATGGCATGACTTGCCTAGACAAAGCAAATTGCTAACATAGTTCCAGCTTCTAGGCCTCCTGACAGCAAAGGTCAACTTTTTTTTTTGAAAGGCAAATGATGGCAAACATTGGGACATAAGTTGTTCAGTGGAGCAGTGGGATACAGCACCCTGAGACTTGTACAGGTTATTCAGAAGGTTCTGGCACGTGCAGTGGGTGAGCAAGTTCTAAGGAAAAGGTTGTTGTGACTGAAAGCTTGCTTTTAGTCTCTCCCTGAGCCTTCCCCAAACAATTTTGACTTTCTCAATGGTGTGGAAAACTGCTTCCAGTCACTTGATACATTAAAAATGAAAACTATTCTAAATTATTTTAAATGCTCCCCCATGCATATGTGTGCATATGCACACACACAGTCGCTCACTCTTTTACTCGCACAGCTGAAATAGAGAAAATTGGAAAAGGAATAGTTGTGTTACCTGCCTGATACAATGAAGGATGACAGGAAGGAAAGGCTGCACCAGAGATCAGTGTAGCTCTCAGCTCTGAATTATTTGCATTTCATACCTCGTGAGATCTTCTGTGCCTTTTTGTGCAGCTTTATCTTGGATCTCCCAGTCCTATTCTCAAAAACGTCTCTGGTTGGAGTTATAGTTAAAATGGTTAAATTGGTGTGAGATTCCTTCAACCCTTATTTTAGAATATTCCTCAGTCATTTTCCAGCTTTAAGGACCAAGCTGTTAGGTCCCCCACTCACGGCTAGCAATCACTGAGGTCAGCAGAACTTGTGCTTCCTCAGCACTAAGGCAGGCTCAGTAAGTAAGCATCTCTGGGCATAGTTGTACTTGCTTGAAGCAATTGTAAAAACTTGCAGTAGATTTCTTTGCTCCTCAGGCAGCTGATCTTGATACCAGCCATGGAGATGTTTGCTGAAGTCCTATCACCGCTCCTTGAGTTGCACCTAAAGCTTATGTTTTAGGTACTCAGTGCTGGGGAGAGGACTTGATGGCTCAGAAGGAATACTCCTTTCAAAGTAGATCTTCCTAAGCCTGTTTGAGAGGATATGGGGCAGTGTACAGAGAGTGTATGGGTGGTGGTGATCATGGGAAATCCATGGCCTGTAGTTTACGTGTATGAGGGAGGCTCAGGAAGATGGGGAAGAAAGAACAGATCAGTGGCAATGACAGGAAGGGTATGACTCTGTCCTCTGCTGCCAGGCAGTGTAATGCCATGGCTATGGTTGGATGACAGGGCAGTTAGCAGGCTGCCCCCAAATCCAGTGGAGAGCAAGGGTTTCCCAAGGGGAGGCACTTTGCCCTTTTGGTAGCTTCTAGGGAGTATATCTGGACTAGAAGGCCTTTCCCAGATTACTGGATCTGAAATATAGAGCAAGACTTCAGTTTGGTTTGTGTGTTGTTTTTCCTGCTAGGGTGTGAGCTGTGAGGCTGCATAGGAACTGAGTGAATACCGTTTGTGAAAATGTAATTGTGTGAATTGGGACCCAGTTCACGGTATCTGGCTTGAGACGATTTTGCCTTGATTTTTAGGGTGTGGAAGCACAAAAAGAGGCCAGGTTAGCTAGAGATGCCGGTAGAAAAGAGAATCTAGCAGCAAGTGTATGCAAAAACAGTAGAGAAACTTGTACTGGCGAGCTGGCAGTCTTCAGAGCTGCGGAGCCCGTATCCTTTTCCGTCACTAAATTTTCTGAAAATAATAAGAAATCAGGTTCCCGGAGTTCCTGCAAGCCTGTGGTTCCCCCAGTGCAGCTTCCTCTTAGCTGTACTCCGTGCTTAGACTTCTTCCTGAAGAAGGGCTTCAGTCTTGGGCTACATAATTCAAAAGTAGGAACTTATATGCAGCCGGTGATGCCCCATCCTGTGGCATGTGTTAACATCCTCTGAAGAGGAGGAAAGGTGGTGATCTGGTAGTCCTAAGAGTCTGTGAGTAAGACATAGAAAAAACAGCATTTTTACTGGGTAATGTTCTAGTCCTCTACACTGTCCTGTGATGCTGCAAGCTGCTGGGCCGCAAGGGAATGGACCTTTTCATTTCCATCTGAAAAACAGCCCTCTGTGTTTCTGCTCCTGTGTTAATATTTAAAACACCTTCTGTGACAGATGGGGTCTCTTTTTTTCCTTTAGCTCCTGGTGATTAGAGATAGCTTGCCGCAAGCTGTGTTAACTGAGGCTGATCTCTCTTTGGGATAGAAGCCCTGCTTTGCGCCCAGCCTGGAAGAAAGGCTGCTGCAGCTGCTGTTACGCAGGCTCACTGTGGTAATGGCTCTTCAGCTTCTTTGTGGCATCTCATTTGGTCCCCAAAGCCCTCTTGCCTTATTTTTAAGTAGCAGCCAGTGCAGATTTAGGATCCACACAGAGACAGTGGTGGGGTAGATGGAGTGGTATCGTGGTGCTGTGGATGGCCTGAGGCAGGAGTGCAGGAGATAGGATGTTTGCAGGGGTGAGAAGTTAGTGCACGGAAACACAGCTTTGGTACTGTGGCAAGCTGGAAAATGAAGGTGTGTTAGAAAACCATGGAGAAGGGCAGAGAGAAGGCTTATATGATATTCTTGGAGAGGAGAACAAGTGTCCAGTGCTGGCAGGGGCGTTGAGGTGTAGTTTGGTGCTGGTTGGGGACTCTGGTCCTTCCACCTTTGTTCTGTGCTGAACACCACAGTGCTAAACCTGCTGTCAGGCAGTGCTCAAAAATAAGAAAACATAATTATGGCAACATCTTAACCATTTCAAGACTTTTTTATTTTTAAAGACTCACTTTCCTTTCTTTTTTTGCCTTCTGATATTCATGTCTAGTTAGTTCACGCACTTTTACTATACAATCACATGAATTATAAAATTTTTTCTATATGAAAGAAAAATTGTGAGGTTCTGAGGTAATTGTATTGCTTCAGTGACAAGGTCTTTAGGAAAAACACTGTGTGTTGGGAAAGCTGGACACGCTGCTTGGCAATGTATTCTCACAGTATGAATTGAAAATTTTGGGGAGTTGGTAGCTAACTTCCTTGATTACAGTGGGCCCAGGCTGAAAATGAACTTGATTTAGGGAGCAAGGCCACAGCTGGAAAAATAGACTGAAATTCTGATTCTGTTGATTGTGATGAGCCTGGATTTTTCTCGAAGGTTGGGGGGGAGATATCATAGTGTGTCCTTTTCTCTTGTTTAACACTTTAAAGCTCTTTCCCACATTCATGTCAAGTACAAATGGATATGACCTCACTAAAGTCACTGTCATAGTAAGCATTTCTACCGGATCTAACTTTGATTCATTACACAGAAAATACAGCAAGTGAGCAATTTTTTTGAAAGTTCTATTTGGTATCTTCCTTGAGGGTGCAGGGAGAATTATCTGTCACTGTGTGGCAGTGTGCTACACATTTCTTGCAGCTCTGATGTATCAGCCAAGCCTTCTTGGAAATGGCTAACAGGTGTTTATTACAGACATTACTCTCCTTTAGGTTCCCTGTAAAAGCTTTTTTATGCCCATTCTATTACTTAGTCTCTTTGTGTTATACAGCCTGTAAAGTGCTCTGTGCTTTATTCTTTCTGTCTAATTAGGGCTGTTAAATGTTACCTTTGCTTCCCTCACGGGATCTGTTTGGGCCAGATGCGTTTCTGACAATGCACATCACAGCTCCGGTTCAGTGGTGCACCCAGTAATGCCGATGTTTCTCGGCACACACTGAGCCTGCAATGCCTAGACTAGAGTTACCACTTTGAAGTGGCTTCCTCTTGGAGGTGTATCTAACATCCAGGCTGTGTCATGACATAAGTGGATCTTTCCAGTGGTAACTTTGATGCCTTAGTTCCTTCCTATGCCTGAACGTGCATATGGCAAAAATGAAAATTGGTGGGGAAGTGCAGATGTTCCACTTTCTTTTACTGGTTTAGGCAAATACTGCCCTTAGAAGGGAATGGTGGCGTTTTGATTTCGTCAGGACTATTTCATCTCTGCCTATTCCTATTATGCTTAGAAAGTACTAAGGGTCTTGCCTGACCAAAGTTACAAACTGCTTGGAAATGGAAAACACATCACTAGTTCTGGGCTGATGCATCAGAGACTTTTTGTTGGCTGTTTTCTGTACCGCAAGTACCTTCAAAAGTAAAGTTTATTTAAAGAGGCTGTTGCACATTTTGAATCTGCAGGTCCCTGAGACATGAGCTCAAGAGCAGGTTGCATCCTGTCTTTATTACTCCAAATAATTACTCCAGGCTTCTAGCTGTTCCAGGTCATCTGCATTGTTGCCTTGGTTTCTAATGCTGAACCTGATAACTGCCAGCAGTGTAATGCTGTACTCTGCTATAACACTGATTTGACCCTCCTTGCTGCTGTTAATGATAATATCAAACTCTTACGGGTCTTCTTCCTGCAGGTCAGAAATGGGAGACTGTGCCATTGTGCACCCAGGCGCTGTCTGTGTTATGGTGAGGTTGCTGCCGAAGCTGTACAAAGAGGGTCACTCTCAGGTGAGTCTCTGCACATATCAGAGTACGATTTAGACAGAGTCTGCTATTTTTCTGTGGCTTCACTTTTGAGAGTTGCTTACTCTTTGCAGATGTGGATACTGAAATTCACTCAGTACACTGGCGGGGGAACAGTACAGATTTCATTGTACTCAGCCAAAAAAAAAAAAAAAACCCAAAGGCTCTTGGACATCAGTTTGGCTAAGGATTTATGTACTTGTCTGATGCAGTGCATGGTTCTTGGTCCCAGGATACTTGTTGCAATGGAACAAGTATAGTGTATGCTTTGTTTCCACTTTCACTACCGAGTATGGGTTCGGACACAAGGAATAGATGGGAGCATGGGAAATAGCTCAGTTTTTCTGAAGTGGAACAGTTTACTTTGTCGGGATGACTGGGGAAAACAAATGAAATAATCGTGACAGGACAGTCTCTTTAGTTGTATCATGGTAGGGTAGGGGCTGTTGTCTCCTGTGATTCTCATCCACAAAGGAGATGTGCCGCAGTGAACCCAGTCCTTTCCGTAAGGACACGTGTGTTTATTTCCAAATGAAACCAGAGCCTTCATGGGAACCCTCTTCTTCCCCTCTTCTGTTTTGGAGCTGAGGTCAATAATGTTCTTGCACTCCTCCCTCATCTTCTCTCCCATAGTGCTTTGTAGCTCAGGCGATACGGAAATCCAGGGAGAACTGCCCTGGCTTTAGCATTCTGGGATTTTTGCTTCCTGATATGGGGGGGGAGTGGGGGGGTGGGGAGAGAGAGAGGTTGGAGGCAAAGAGTCAACCTGGGCCCAAGAAACTGAATCTTTTGAATTTCTGTTCCCAAATATGAATACTTGTCACTTTAAACTCTGTTCCTAATATAGTGGGGGGAACCGTTTAACGCAGCATGGTCCTGACCTCTAAGCTTCATCATAAAACAAGTATAGTAGTTACGCTGTTTGGCTGAAGTCATGTTCTCGTCCAACTGGCCACTAGTTCTGAAGAGAAGTCCGCTGTGCGGTTACTGCTGCTCCTTTCAAATAAATTATGTTTGGTTAAGGAAATGTTTAAAAATCCTGTTCAGTTTGGCCGAATTGCTCTTGAGAACCGTTCTGCCACTGCTGTTGCTTCATGGATAGTGCGTATATCATCAAAAAAACGCAGTGTGGGCCCTACTGGGAAGTGGTGATGGGAGGAAAAAAAAACAACAGGCGGTATAGCTGAAGATATTTATAGGGGCACTATACCTGTTCCATGTACCTACGCGTTAAAAACGCGTTAAAAACTAGTTGCACACAAACTGCCATCCTGATCCCTGTTTCAAACAGCCCTATTCTCAGCTTATGCCTTTCTTTTCACCTTGCCAAAGTCTGCCAAAAACATGCCCGAGTGTAACATACTTGGGGAACAGAGGTGGATGGGTTGTGGAGGGCCTTAACAGGAAGCCCGCTCGTTGTCTGAGCCTATGCTTGTAGCTAAAAGTGCCCAACTCGGAGACAGCACATACTGCTCTCCATGTTAGCCTGTAGAAACTCAAATATGCAAATATACCAGCAATGCAAGCACCATTATTTACTCATGTCCTCTTCATTCATATTCCTTGTAATCCCAGGGAAACATGGATGACTATCTTATCTTTCCTGTAGTGTGTTTTTTTTATCTGCAACATGGCAGCCAATATTTGGTTCAAAACAATCAGCGTTTTTTCCCTGTATGCATGTGGGGCTTTTTTGCAGTCCTGAGTGCGTTGAGTTCTGATCTCTGTTACACAAACTGCTAAAGGCAGATGAATGATGACAAAGAACAAACAGAAATTGTTCAAACCATCACTAGAGGATCTAGCAACGAGAAAAATCTGTCCCCTTCAGCCTAATGGTCCATAAGCTTTCAAAACAGCTTAGTATCTGCTTTGCAGTGTCAGTCCTTTCCTAGACACACCCATTCTGAACAAGCAAATTGTCCATGTTCTGTCTGCTGTCTTCTGTAAAGTACTCAAAGACAACTGAAGTATAACCAGAAGGACTGAAATAACCAGTTCATTCATCCAAAACTGTGGAAGGTAGGAATGTAACTAACTGCTGGCATATCCCAAATCTGTGTAGCAGAACCAAGCCAGCAACTATTGAAACTTTGATAATTACACAGTAACTAACTTCTGAGAAACAAGTAGAATGGTTAATTGGATGAGAGAGTCATCAAGAAAGTGACTGTATTAAAGCTGGTTCTAGGGCTGAGCTATACGAGAGGAATAAGCCTTTCAGACCTTCAGTAGATGGCAGTGTTCTTAAAAATATGAAAGTTTAGAGCACAAATTCCAACTGTCATGTATTTAAATGCACTCATATGCCTTCCTTTCTTTCTCTCTTTTTTTTCAGTCAACAAGAAATTATTCCTGATGATATTTGTTTTGTACTGCTGTTGTAAATGGGGGTGCCCCAGGTAAAATGGGACCTTGTTATGGTGGGTCCTGAGTAAGTAAGGGTTAACCCGTGTTCTGAAGAGTGTATCATCAAATGAGCTACAAAAAGGATGGAGGAATAACAGCACAGAGAAGCAAAGTGACTTGAATAAAGTAATGTCAGTAATGGAGAGAGGAATATAATCTGTGTCTCGGAGACTAATTCCTAGCCGTTGTTCTCTACAGCAAATTACAAATGTGTGGTTAAAATTCTCATTCCAAGCTAAAATGATCTGCGTATGTCAGACGCTGTTGTGTTCCTATGCTTTGTGCTTTCCAGGTCAAGTTTTTCAGTGTGTAAGCTTTATTACCTTCTAATGCCATTGGTATGTTGTCCTCCGCCCCAAATCCATCCAGGTCATGTGCAAATCCTTTACTTTCACAGAAATGGCATTGAGAAAGCACCACTTTTCCAGAAACGTTAATGGAACTCAATAAAATTAATGTACTTTGATTCTGATGTGCAGAAATAATATCTATTTCCTGTCAAATTTGCTGATTCTTGGTGACCTTTATCAGACCCAGCAGTGGCGGCCTGCAGTAACGCTGAGTGTGTCAGCAAACCCGAAAGCAGTTATTAGACAGTAAAGCAGATGGTCTTGCACTTCAGTCTTTTCTTCTGACTATCCAGAATGACAATTAAAAGCTGCGGTGAATAGATTTGTGGTTGTATATTGCTGCCATTCCTAGATATGATCAAAAATCATTTGAATGTCAAATAGGATATGAAAATTTGCTAAAAGCCTTAAAACCCCCCAAGAGGCAGTCTTTTAGTCAGTAAATGGTATTTAGAGGATATTGCTTGCATGCATGCATACATCTGGTACTTCTGCAGACTAAGCCTGTTCCCATCAAACTGCATGTATGTTTCAAAAGCTAAGTACAAGTGAGACGGGTTAACATGCACTTTACCTGTGTGAGTCAGGACATTCACAAAAGTGTGTGTTTGGTTGTTGTGGTTGTGTGTGTGGTTTTTTTTTTTTTTTTTTTTAAACCTTAAAAAGAAAAAAGTTTGCCCTCTGACACTTCCTGTCCCTGTCTGGTATTTTGGAAGCATAGCTCTTAAGCGTGTCATGCTTTTTCTAGGAGATCTCATTTGACTTCACAAATGATAGATAGAACAGGGATAGATAAGGGAAAGGCAGGAACTTTTAAAAGAAGAACCAAAGCATGTTTCAATTCTGTATCATCCTTCTTGCTGGTTTCTGGGGATTTCTTGTGAACAGTGGTAGAAAAATCTTCACATCATTCATTCTGTTAATATTGTAGATATTAACAGCATAACACTTTCCAAATAGTTGTACTTCTCAAAAAAGTAAATTCTTTTTAAACCTAAAAAATTTGTGCCCATGTTAGATATGGCTCACAGAAGGTTGTGTGTCATTTGAAGTGTGTCTGCCTTTAGACATTTATTACTGCTATCATGGCTAATATAACTGTTTATACCATATTGCATTCCTAGATTACTGCAGTGCCCTATTTGGGAATTGCATTCCCATTGAGGAATTCCTCAGGTATTTGGCCAGAGCTTCATTCCAGCTTGGGTTGCACTGCTCAGGCTTTGAGACAGAGGAAGGGGGAAAGGAGCAGCATGCTGGTGGGAGGGGAGGGAGCAGGCTGAAAGTAGCCTGGCAACAGGTCCTGCAGCCTGGCCTGGAAGGGGAAGTTTGACTCTTTCCCCTGAACACTTTTGAAAAGGCTTTCCTCCAGCCTTGTTACCTGGAGGATTTTTCTTTGCTGAGCCTCTTTGGATTACAAACCAACTTTTTTTCTTTCCTTTTCTTTTCTTTTTAGGCAAAAGTGCTGCCTGTCTCTCTATTCTTTCCCAAGGTTATTTTGAGGCTTTTAGTAAGAAGTTTCTTTGTTCATTGATCAAACCACAGCTTTGGAGTTTTCACTGTTCAGGCAGATGAGGCAATTTTCCTTCTCTGTGTTCTGCAGTACAGCCTGCCCTTTTATTTGTGCTCTCTTGCTGTTCGCTCTCTCCCTAAAAGGCAGCCAATCTCTCTGAAAGCGACCAATCTCTCTATATCCTAAAATCTTGGAAATGTACCTTAGATTGAAGAGATGGGAACTCTGCTAAGAATCCAAAGCTAGCTATGCAGAAGATCATTTTTACCTTCTTTGTCCATGCATATCATATCACTTAAAAGGTGATGCACAGTTGCCTCTTAGCTGATAGGCATCATGTTGTAGCACTGCACAGTAGCTTAGGAAAAGGAGAAAGAGGCACTGCATTGAGATAACACTGTGAAAAGAAACATAGTGAAACTAAATGTAGTTTGGTGAATGAGCTGTCAGGCCACCAGAATTAGCAAAATGGCTCTTACCATTATGAAGAGATTTTGTTGCCTAGCTTCAAATGGTGAAGACCCAGTGCTGCCTTCAAGAGAATATATACTACTATCCCTGTTATTCATGTGAGGGAGGCTCTGAGGCTTATCTTACACAAAAATTATACCAAGGAGAAACAAATGAGAAGCATGATGGAGACAATGTCATGTGGGACAGTCAAGTAGACCTTATCTATATACATAAGTTCTTGGAAAAGTATAGAGAGTTTGCGCAATTCATAGTGCTTATTTCTTTTTACTTGCAAGGAGCACATGGAAACCAGTTACATTGTAGCATCGTAAAACCCAATTATACAAACAGTCAACAAAGTATGTTTTGCTTAGGTCCAGTGGATAAGAGTAAATTAGCAAAATATTGTGACAGAATGGGAATGTGCTTGCAGCTGGGAACTCTTTCTGTGTTTTATTTTCCTGAACTCAGGAATTTCATGATAAATTACTGAATGACAATTTCTAAGAAAAAAAAGTTATGCGAGTAACTCATTTTCAGAAGTGACCCAAGCTCTCTAGAGCCAATGGGTTTCCTGGAGGTCTGTCTGCCTTTTGAAAGCAGCATTTAAAATCCAGAGTTGCCTGGAGCTTTTTGAAAATGTTATTCTCTAGGCCTTGATTTTTTTTTTTTCCCCCCCCATTAATAAAATTAAATCTGTGTTATGTTAGGAAGTTAATTGAACTAATTTTCTATAAATGGCTGCTAGCTTTTCAAGTGAGAGGTGTTCAGAGATTGAAAAATAAGTTTACTTTTTGCAGTTGCACACAGAATGATTGCTGTATCAGTCTGAAACCTAAGAAAAATGTATCCATCTGAAATGGACCCCTACTGCCAATGATTGTAGGTACTTACTCATCTTAAATATAGTACGATCGTTTAGAAGAGGAAGAAGAGTGAAATGAATTTAACTACTGAGTTTTGAAAGTGTGGACTCTTAGGAGCAAAAATCTGGGGTCTAGTTCAGCAGATTGGGCAAATTGGTAGAAGATGCTTTGTCCTGAGACTCAGGCGGAGCTGTGAGCCCAGCTACATTGTAATTGCACCTCCAATATCCTGATCTATAGTGCAAGTAATATGTGTTAGGAAAATCAATGCATGCATATAGGAACACACATCCTGGTTTCCTGGTCACCGTTAATATTTTCACTAAAATCCCATTTTACTGGAACTAAGATCCCTGAAAACAGAACAATTTATTCAAAACAAGGCTATGCTGATATTGACAGAGCTGCTAAGCTAATGAAAACAATCAATTTTGTATATTCCATTATGATTTTCTTGGATTTATTTTGGAGTAACCAGTAGTTTCACTTGGCCAAGATTCTATCCTTTTCTGTTTGTTAATGCTTTTATATATTCAGAGCCTTTCCCACATCCAGTAGAAAATGGAGTAAAATAACAATCAGAAGATCCAAAAACCTATAAGCAAGACTTTGATGTGCTATAGAGAAAAGTGCCTCTCCTGGAAGGAGAATAATGTGTGTTTTAGTCTGGGGGAGGGCCTCTGTGTATAATGACACATTCAAGCTTATATCACTGGGAATGAGCAGTCATTGAGATAAAAGAAAAGGCTGTCCAAAGAACTCTCCATTCAGACATAAAAAAACAGTAACTGTGCTCACAAAAATGAGTGTGTACATTACATGTTATGTATTAGTAATATTGTCATAAGTGTTGTCTGTGAGACTTCTGGGTGCTGAGCACATTGAAAAGAAATTGCTGGTAGATTTTGAATTTGTTCTGTACAGTCTTGAGCTCTGCAGAGCTTGGTCTATATCATGAGAGAGCTGAATCCCTTTTTGCACTTAATACACTAACTTATTCTGAATCTGATGAAATTGCTTTTCATTTATATTACAAATTCCCATTCTAAATTCTGTCATGATCTGCATATCTGCCACCATCATTGTTCTTTTCTTTAAAAGTTTGGATAACTGTTTCCTGGAAGAATGCATGAGAAAGCCGAAGAGTTATTGGAGATGGAGAGCATTTGATCCTAACAAGATTTCTGATTAAATCTGTGATGCCCTGTTACTTTTGTGTAAAGTCTAGCTAGGTCATTGGAATGGGCTTCATTGCTAAATTGGAACAAATTGCTCTAAAGATAATTTATAAGAATTCAGTTACTTCTTTAAGATCATCAAAAACCAATAGTGAAGTAAAGCTTTGACAAAACACACAGAGAAGTGTTTAAAGTTAAGCAAGAGTTACAGGATTTTTGTTGATAAGAGTTTACTTTAAAGGTATTATTTTTAAAGCAGAGAGTAGATAAGGTGACTCCCCGTGTGCTTTGTGTTAAATACGTTCTGAGTTACTGTGCTGGTGTTGGGACTTAAGCTTAATAACCTGCCTTTGATGGTATTCCCCTCTTCTATATGAGGACTGATTGCTGTCCTCTTTCACTACCATTAGTGTTGTGGCAGGGGAGCTCAGCTATGATGTAGCTATGTCCAGACTGTTCAGATGCAGAGCTTTTATGGAATAGCTGTGCAGTTACACTTCAGCCCCTTAAAGCAGATCTTAGAGGCTCCTTTTCTGGGGCAAATTTTTATATCCAGAAACCCAGCAATTACAGAAGAAAAAAACAAAAGCAAGATTGCCATGTACAGTTGTAATCCCAACCCGCTGACCTTGGCGCTCTCTCTGTTTCAGCTTTCTCAGGAAATCCAGTGTGCTGTGGCTGACCATATCCAGTCCCTGGTGAAGTCGGAGAAGAGCCGCCAGGTGATGTGTGGCTCTGGCTTGTTGAGCACTATCATAACTTCCTGTCAGGATGCCCTCCGCAATGAGAGCCACCCACTGCATCTGCCCCTCACTAGGGTTTTCGAGAAACTTGCCTCACAGGCTATTGAACCAGATGTATTAAGGTATCAGAGTGTATTTAATGGAAGTAGTTTGGCTTAGCGATATCTCACTGCACTAGGTTGATAGTCTGCCTTATATATAACTGGACGCTTCATGTGGTGATCTGATTCAGCAAGACATTTAGGTGTATGTCTCAGTTAATTTTTCTTGCATAATGATAACAAGGTATACATTTAAATGACTTACTGAATTACATACAAGTCTGTGGTCTTCTCCTGCATCATCTCTGCAAGATTACAAAGCTCTTTTCAAATAGTAACTAATTAAGTAATTGCAAAACAAGTAAGGCTTTCAGCGTTATTCTCCCTCGGTCTTCATAGGGAGAAGCAGATTCATGAAGAGTTGAAGTGACTTGTTCTTAGTCCCTATCCATGTCAGTGACAGACCCCAAAATAGAAAATATAGTCTTGTTTCTCAGTCTGTTGTCCTGCCTTGAGGATGTGCTTTCTCCTTTAATGATAATGAATGCTAGTCATGAGAGTACCTGGTTGACATCAGAGTGCAGATGATAAGATTTGGATATACAATGGAAGATTGAAAGGTTTATTTTTTTAAACATGGAACAGAATTTCATATTTAAAAATCTTTAGTTTTTGTTTAAGCATTGTTGAAAAATTTAAACCTAGGAAAATTTTTTCAATAAAAAACCCAATAAAATAGGTTTCTAATTTAAAAAAAAAAAAAATTTGGTCTCCTGGGGGCTGAGCTGTATTTGCGCAGTTGCTGTGGCTCCCAAATATCTGACTTGATTGTTTTCCTCATTTATTTGTTTTTGGGGGGTGGTGGGATGTTTGTTTGTTTGTTTTTATGTTAGGCAATTTCTTTGGTTGGGAAGTTCTCCACCAGTAGCTGTGAGGCCCAGTACAAACAGGACCAAGGTCCTTTCATGTCAAGGGAGTGATTCAGCTGAAGCAGCCTGGAATGAAGGTAAGCATGCAGTGAACAGCCTGTTACTGCTACTGTGATTGGACTATAAATGTCTGTTAATTAAAGGAAACTGCTGTTGCAGTGAGTTGCTCCAAGCCAGTCCTGGTGCAGGTGGATTATGCCTGAATGTTTTAGAGCAGGTACTACATAGCCAGATGGGTAGAGCTCCCTCTTGATCAAAACTGAGAGCTGATCTAATGACCAGCAGAGATCAAATCATAAGACTTGTGCTGGATCCAGATGCTGAAATAGGCTCAGACTTCTCAGGACTGGACATGGAAGTGGTTATAAAAACCCTGTTTGTGTTTCACAAACCAATGGGAGTGTCTCCTGCGTTTGGGCGACGTTTTCTCTTCGGTTTATAGCTGGAAATAGGGTGTAGGTCCCTAAAAAGCACCACTTATTGTACTTCCTTTGGTCTCCTAAAAGTCTGCCTTGCTCATGTAGGCCATTTTCCATCCCTATCTGTTTTCCATTGTAGCAAATTTTGTGGGTGTAAGGCTACATTAATAGTATTTCGCAGCTATACTGTTGTCATGCCTCTGAGCCACTTGATGCAGAATGGTGCAGATTTGGGCCTTATGTGTTTTCTGCAGTCATTTGTCAGATCCACTCCCACGTGCTGGTTGTAACCCTTCCATTACGGCACAATTGAGTGGTCTGCGTGAGAAAAGTGAAGCCAAGGGGACAGGAACCTCCTTTACTAAAGGTGAAGATTATAGCTGCCTGAAAACTTAGAAAATATGACTGTCTGTCATTTCTTTTGTAAGTTCCATCTCTCCTGCCAGCTTCTTATTCTGAGATTCCTTTAGTGCAGCGTTTTGTTTATTGTTGAGGACTTCTGCAGACTGCGGGTGCGTTAGCCGAAGAGCCAATGTCTGATGCTGTATTTTAGCAGTGATGAACTGAGTGAATGTGGGCAGTCTGTGGCTGAAAAAAGCACTGGAGACACTGATCTTGCTATGAACTGTATCGATCTTGTAGGTTCAGAAGTGGTCATGGTGGACAGTAAAACTGCTCCTCAGACAGTTGTGCCTCTCAGCAGCTCCCCTTGGGTGTCTAAAGGATCTGCACTGGCACTCCAGACTGCAATGAGCCTGATCTCCATGACATCACCACGAAACTTCCAGCTCCACAACACTGCTTTGGCTCCATCATTTGTGGAGTTTGACATGTCCATGGAAGGATATGGGTATTGCTACTGCTTTTCTCCTAAGCTGCTTTGCAGTGTCTCCCAGCTCTTACTCTGGGCACAGGAACTAGTTGCTCCCCTCTCAACTTAATCAAGCTTTGTGCCCTATTGCTGCCTTCCTTGCAGCCATGTTGCCAACCTGTTTGGCCCAGAGAAAGTTTGTCGCTGTCTTGTTTGCTGATAGCCTGACTCTGCTTTGCTGCCTTGATTCTTCAGGGGCTTGCCTGTGAGAAGAGCCCAGAATTGGGTCAGTGGTGACCTTCAGGGATGGTTTTACTTTTCTGCTGAATGGATGATTGCTTGCTTTTGTAGGTGTTTATACCTCCCTACCTTGGCCACTGTCATGGGCCCCAGTGCCGAGCAGTCTGTCTCGGGAGGAATCGGCATGGGTAAGCACTCTCTGGCTCACCTACAGCCTCCTGAAAGCGCTGACTTTTCAACCCTGCTGCAGGCATTCAGTGCTTTAAGAAATGGAAGCAAATAAGCTGTGTGGTTCAATACTCTTCTATCTGTGTGTCCTAGTCCAACTCTGAGCTATACAACTCAGTCTGCTCACCAAGATGCAGCATCAGATGCAGCTTAAGAGCATGATGCATTAGCATCATAAATTTAAAGGCTGCGAAGAAAGCAGTCTTAACAAGCGAAAGCCACCAGAGCTTAGGGTAATCTCCCAGGGAAGCAACAGAAACTACATCGCTTAACATTAGATAGGATTCTCCTGTACTTTGAAATCTTCAGTTAGATGAACTGGGAAATGGTTATTCATGCTGTACCTTTTGCTTCCTGAATTTTGTGGACTCTGAGGAAACTTGTTTCCGTTTCTAGTTCAGTGATACCCAAGTGATGAAATCTGTGGCATGGAGATCTAGTACTCATTTCTTATCAGTCAATCCTAGCTCACTTAGACATGTGCATACTCTCACGTGCAGTCTCTGTGATACTGAAAGTGGGCAGTGAAGTCTAATAGAACAGAATAGGAATTAAACCTCTCTAATGTTGGTTCTTGCATGTTTCTTGTTACAAATAAAACAGCAAGCAGTTTGCTAATGTCTGCACAAGTGAATCAGCTTTCTTATTGCTGTTTTACTTCCTCCCTACAGGCCCCAGAATGTTCCCTCCCTCAACCGGGCTGACTTTCTCCTGCTGGTTTCTGGTTAACAAGTTTGGTTTGGTGCACAACAGTCACCCACTCCGTTTCCTCACTATTGTGAGGCACATGTCAAGAACAGAGCAAGAGTTTGTCTGCTTTTCAGTAAGCTTTTTCCCCCAGGACCGTTCCTTTGTCATTTCCACAGAAGAAGTGGAATTCCAGCCACTCGGTAAGGCTTTTCTCAGTTAAGCTGCAGGGCTGTGTGTGTCCGGTGATCACCTGGAATTTTTTGTTAATATTTCATTCCTCTTTAAAAGTACCCAGGACATTAATGAGGCTTTGCATCTTTTCAGTGTTCTTCTGGCAGCCTGTTATGGTTGTAATCCTTGGTCATATTTCAGTTTCAAATTTGCTGTAGGCATTGAGAATTATTTTGTGGCCTGCAATATGTGGTAAAACTTGTAGGAGATATTCTAGAAATACTCCTGAATGTCAGTTGTATGCCTGTGCACAGGTATGGGGACCGGACTTGAGGAACCGGTTTACCTCTGCGTGTTCTATGTGGCAGTAGGCAGATCAGGAGAGTCTTGGAGTGCTGTAGCTTCATAATGAAACAGGTGGTCTTCTCTCCTCATTTTTAGAATGTTTTTTCTCAGGCCAGCGTATTACTCTCTTTTTCCTTCTTGACATTCATCCTTTTCTCCATATCAAGCATAGTAGGTACTTTCATTGTGTTTGTGAATCAGCATTGCAGAGGAGATTGGGAATGAAGTGGGAATTGTAGCTGGGATTTTTCGTGCACAGTTTACATTGTGTGAGTGCTCTGATTCCCTTAGATGAAGTTAAAAATCCCAGCTTTCCTCTTTTCATAGAAACTGTAAATAAATATACGGAATTTTATCTTCTTATGAATTTGCTAGGAATTTCTTTCTGTATCAGATAATTCAGTGAATATCCTGAGAGGTTCTTCTCCTCTCAGAGAATATGTCGACTTTATCCTAGTTTAGTCTAGTTTTACAGCATACAGGCAGCTAGCAGGTGGTATTTGGGAGTATAACTCATTGTATATGAAGGCATCTTGGGAGTTATCCAAGTCTCAGGTCCTGAGAGTAGGCCTCCAGGGAATGTTTCAAAGACATTGAATGGAACAGCATCAACTAATGCTATACCCATCATGTTCCTTCTGTGTGCCATATTTGAAAGTTGTATTCCAAAGGTAGTGGAAGGTGAGACAGAAGACCCCAAACTGTCCAGTGACTGCCACCTGTTTTTGCTCTTACAGACATCATGGAACCTGAGGTCGAGGTCCAAAATCACTCCCTAGTTCCAAGGCAGGTCCAGTTTGGTTGTGGCAAGCTGCTGGTCACTGGCCAGTGGTATCACCTCACAGTGACAGTTGCTAAGGAAGCAAGGAAGAACTGCGTTGTGACAGCGTATATAAATGGTCAGATGCTTGGCTCCGCTAAGGTAAAGGCTCTCTGCGTAGAACTGCGCCTGACAGCTGAGTATTTGCTGTTCGTTCCACCCCTCCCCCCACCACCTTCCGATATCTTTTCAATGTAAACGTAAGAGACCTTAGAGAATGATGATTTGCTTACATAAGATGTTCCACAGTGTTGCGCTTGTATGGAGTCAGAAATCCATACAAATCAGGGTATATTTGTGTGGCTGTTCAGAAGCATGATGTCAGCTTATACTGATGCTTTGAACTAGTAATTTTTTTTCTTTTATTTCTTTTTTTTCCTTTTAGCAGATAACCATGGCAATTTTGAGAGGGTACACTAATCTGAGAATCAGGGTTGCCTAGTTTACAGTAACTTAAGATTATGTTCATGAAATGCAGTTGTGCCCTTAGGCCAACATTTTCTGAATTGACTAGTTAGTTTGAGGATCTCTCTATTTATACCTAAGAGTGAGTAACTTTGAGACGTTCTCAGCTATTAAAAATATGCATACATACATATATACATACATATATACACACACACGTTCCACTAAGGTGCATCCAGCAGAAAACCCACAACTGAAGGCACTTTGGCTTTAGGCTAAAATCTGCAAAGGTGATTAGTGATCTAGGGAGCCTCAATTTTGGAGGTAAGGCCTGGGAATGGAGGGAAGATCAGAGGGAAAATAAGCTTCTGTGACCGGCCAGCCCTTTGCAGGAATCCCAAGATGAATGGAATTTCCTCAAGCATCTTAGTTGTCCATGGGCTTCTTTCAAGCTGCCACCCATTCAACTATCGGTTCAGTGGTCAGATGAGTCAGTGGTCTTTCCCACAGGCACTCTAACCATTTGGGGACAGATTGTCCTCATGACCCATTGTTGTTCAGTGTATGAGATGGCTCTTGCATTAAAATCATACTTATTCTAAGCTAATAGGAAATAAAGAGGAAGGTTTCAGATAGGAGACATTTGTAAATGTCAACCCTACCAGCTCATAAGTTCTTTGCAAGTGTTGCAGTAGCTCCTCTTTCCCCTGATGTCCCACTTCCTGCAGTCATCTTGTTGTGTAAGAGTCTCAGCTCTGACATGGGAAAGTCATGAATTACAGATTTCTCAGGCTGCTTGAGAAATCATGGGAAAGCAATCCACGTGCACAAGAAAGGCTCAGATAGATAAGAAAACAAATGAGAAGAGCCGCTAGTTTAAAAGTACTGTCGTCATAATCATGCTCGTGGTTCTGAAGCTAATCTCATATTATTTCTGAGATTTATTTTATAGACTTTGAATGCTTCATCCTGGTAATGCTGAAAATGCAGCCTATTTCTATTGCAGCTGTTTTTTTAATAGACTCCTTTAATTAATTGCAATTTCAGTCTCTTCCAGCTCCTATTTTTCAATCAGTTTCGACACATGCAAAGCTCACTTGTGTGTTTTATACTTCCCCAGTAAAAGCAACCTGTTTAATTCCAAATATTCTCTTTCCCATACTTGAGAAAAATGATCTGTCTTCTAAACACCTTTTGGGACCTATATCCATTTCAAGAATGAAAACTTAATTTAATTTGCCTTCCTTCAAATGAGACTGAAAGTCATCAATAAAACTAGACCTAAGCATTGCAATTGATTAAAGAATTCACAGCAAATGTGTTTAACGTATAGTGAAACGGCTCATAATAAATAAAACAAGCCTTCAGTAAATCAAAGATGGTCCCACTGCTGAGGTCTCTGACATGATGCAAGCCTTCCTCTTGACATGTACGATGAAGGGTAGATTGTTTAACAGATCAGAATTGCCCAAAGGTTGTTAACAGATATCAGAAGCTACTGTTGGCAGGGTGGGGTGGAGGGGAGGGAAGGAGAATTACGATGCTGCATCAGGTATTATATTTATTCATTCCCATTTCAAGTCCTGTCTCCCAATACTGACCAATCCCACCTTCTACATCTCAGTAGACAGAGAGAGGTAAATGCTAGGAGTCTCTCATACTAACAGCAAGTTGTTAGAAGATGAGTTAAGCCCTGAAGTACAGTATATTTTATTTTCTTCCAAGAGAATTATAGCTACTTTCTATTAGAGCTCTCTATATCTAGTAAAATAGTAGACTCAAGTCAGGAGGCTGAGTCCTTATTGTGATGCCAAAAATAAATGGTCCTATTTTCTAAACCATTGAACTTTCACTGAAGCCAAATGAGGCACTTGGACACTCTATACCCTTCAAAAATTGTTTCTTCTCTAGGTGCCTGTACAAGGAGTGGTCTGTAACTTGACTTCCTGTATTGAAAGTCGCGGTCTGGGTTATGAAGTTAAGAAGAGAGGGAAAAAAAGTCTGAGGTCAAGACAGGGTTTTTCTTTGTTAACATAGATGATTTGGACTATTTTCTTTAAACAAAAAAGTATATTTGAATTTTTGAGAATGCTTACAGTTTTGATGCTTTTGAAAGTCCAATTTCTAAAGAGCAGTTGATGATCATGTTGTTATGGTAGGGACCAAGGAACCAACCCAAGAAACTCGCTATGGAGTTTTAAGCTACGTTTGTAGAATAGACTTATGGCTGACTAATTTATGGATCACCTAGCGGATCTACTATGCTAAGGGCTGCATAGGCATAAACCAATAAGCACATACCTCTAAAATCTTGCTGTCTTGGTAAGTATAACGGAGTTGATGCCCAGAGCCTGCATAGGCATCTGACTCTTCATGTCTTTTTATTGAAGCAGAGGATAAGGCACTTTATAGTTCAGTAGGTTTCACTGGTGTTTGTCAAGATGTTGCCTCGGTTAAAGTCAAGCTTTTGAACGTTGACAGATTACTGTCTTGTCAGCACCAGTTCTGAGGAAACTCCCTTAAAAAAGAGAGCAAAGCTAGACAGTCTCTCCTCTTAGCTTTAATCTGTCAAAGAACTGGGATTTTTTTCACCTTTGAGCTTGATCTGAAGCACTGAGCGCAGCTAATTGCAAGGCTTCTGTGAAGGAAGGAGGTGGGCAGTACCTTCCAGGGACCCACCCTTTAAGACACCTCTGATGCAATGAGTCTCCAAAGTGAATTTTTGCTCTGTTGCAGATGCAATACCTGCAACCCTTACCAGGTAGCTGTATTTCCATGGAACCCTCTTCCTTTATTGATGTCTATGGGTACATAGCTACTCCTCGAGTTTGGAAACAGAAATCGTCTTTGACCTGGCGCCTTGGCCCTACGTACTTGTTTGAAGAAGCCATCTCTGTGGAAACCGTGGAGTTGATTAGTAAGCTTGGCCCACAGTATTGTAGCAATTTCCAAGCAGTACAGCTTCAAGGTATGTGGCAACTCTGATCTCCAGCACTGTTTGTTTGCCAGGCTCATGTTTTTTACTGTTATAATCTGCTGTTAATATTCCATCTGTACCTAGAGATCTCCCTAAAGGCCTGGAACCCTGCTCTAATGAGTCTTGTACAAGTTTGTAGTAAGAGGCCCTGAGGATCTTGCAACACACTGTAGATTGAGCCAAGAAAGGGAGGAAGCAAGCAGCAGTTGAACCCTGACTTTTTTAGACCTAGAGAATAAAGAAGCGAGCTAACGCATCTTTGGGGAGGTGGAAGATGGCAGTTTCTGTTGGCCAAACATTCAGGAAGAAGCTTTATAACTGAGACATTCTACATTTATGGTGCTACAGAAAAACGTGGCAGAAGAGGAAGCAACATCTTTAGCTGCAAATGCTGCAGCGTAGGAGAAAAGGGGTAGGGGAATAGGTTACATTCCATATAATGAAGAGGCTTTTTAACTAAAGTGTACTGTTAGCTTCAGTTATTAAACAAGCAGATAAAACATTTTGGTTATTGCTTACTGTTTGTTCAACAAGTAGTGCATTCACCTCTGTGCTGGAGCTCAGGGGTGAAGTGAGATGGTTGTCTCCCATTTGAAAAGAGCAGAATATAATCCCATTTTTGGTGTTACTGCAGCCTGAAGCAGAGTGAGAGGACTGGCCTCCTTCAGAATGCTGTCTCTCTAGACAGAAAAGGGATTTTTTGAAAGAGAGATGATATCAAAATACAACCCAAAAATGAAAATAATACTGATTTTTGAAGTGTTGAGTCTTCACAAAGTCTGGGGTACTTTTTCTCCTCTGTACACTGGGCTCCGCAGCTGGACTTTAGTACTTATCATGAGTTATGGCTCTCTGACTCCATTGATGCACTGATGCAGGGAAATCACAGGCTGTTTGTTTGTTTTTGAGTTTTCTTTTAACCTAACGCCTCCCTATTCTATCAAAATACCCAGATAAACTTTTGACTTAAAAAAAAAAAATAAAAAAAAAATCTGTACAACCCCCAGAATATTATGGTTTATTCCTTAAGCAGGAATTATATTCTTATTGTGGAGAGCACTATCAGCACTATCTTGCCCTCTCTCACCAGTGTATCATTACTCCTTGCTCATAGCAGCAGCTATGTAGAGCTTTAGCCAAAAGTCAGTCTCCTGCTGGCAGGAAAATAGGTGACAGTCTCAGGGCATTTACTTCTAGTAAATGCAGGAAAAAGTACTAATCCTCTTTGCCTTCAAGGGCTATGACACTAGCATTAGTAAAACAGTTTCATAAATCAACAGTTTTCCCAGTCTATGAATTTGTCAAATATATGAGATTAAAACAAAAAAAAAAGATGCATCTTGTTTTCCCTTGTTTACCTTGCCGTGCAAGCAGAAATAAAAAGTTACTTAAAGAAAAGCATATGAAAATGTCATACAATCACCAAACCGCTGAACCTGGTACTTCTTAGAAGCTTCCCATATGTTGTGAGTTGGAAGCTCTGAACTTTGGCTTCTTTATTCTTTTTTCCCTCACATGAGGAAAACACTCAGTAGCTTGGAGGGTCTCTGAAATGTTTTCTGTGCCCAGACTGTTTTTTTCTATTGTGCGGACAGAGAAAGATTTTTTTCTAGACTCTTCTAAGCTTCATGAGATGTTGGGAGAGGCTGTAGGATCTGCACAGAGTAGTCACCAGAAGAGACGAGCCAAGCATATCTCTCACTGGTGTTTATGTTGGCAAGCTGCCATGGACTAGGTTGCAAAAGGTGAAGCCTTTTTCTGATTCTCAATCGAAATCAATCTCTCTTCTAAATTTTTGTTTCTTCCAGTTATTTTTCAGCTGCCCCACTCCTATTTCACATGCTGAACATGCAAATTTCCTTGAGAGATTTATGGTCTCTTTTGTTTTAGATGAGGATCAGAGCAGTGAGCATAATTCTATACTGCTGGTGGGAGAAGAGAGAATTTCTTTTGGAATCAATGCCACATGCTCGTCTTTCACTACAGTCCAAGATATAAAGAGTTCCTACAATGAAGTGGATGGTCGCCTGATTGCCAAAGAGGTCATATGCTCCCCTCATTCATCTTTAACACATTTCATGTTGTTTGTTTTCAGTTTCCTTTAGGAAAGTTTGTGACTTTGTCTTAGCTTCTTACCTTATGTGATTTTTTTTTTTTTTTAGCTTGTCCTCCAATTCCTTAACTACATTATAAATATGGTTTTCTTGTAGTCTGTGATGAGGAGTAGATTGGACAGTGTGAACACAATGTTAAGAGCCTTTCTTGAAACAGCAGCAGAAGCCATAGTTTTCAGGTTTAAGAACGCTTCATTTCAGCTAGTTATTCCTTAATGCCTGCACAATAAACCTTTCATATGCTATTCTAGCCTTCCTGCCAATACCAAGCCTACTCTTGACACATCAAAAGTGGTGGGGTTGTGGAATACTTCAGGTGGGTGGATGTTTGTCCCAACAATCAGCTCTGAAGGGGAGAAAAAAAAAAACAAACTGGCTTTAATATGCTTTGTCAAAGTCTAAAAGTAATAAAATAATCTCCAACAAATAAGCATCTTTGCTTATTACTTTCTGCCTTTCCAATACTTCCACAGCTTTTCCTACGGTGTCTCTTTTATGTTTTAGATGGGGATTAGTTCTCGGGACAGTTCAACTCCAGTTTTCCTGGCTAAGAATATTGCTGGACACCTCTCAGGTTTCTTGCGGACTATTGGATCGGTTGCTGTGGGCCAGTATGGTAAATGAGCTCTACTTACATGTTTTGTGTGTGTGGTTTGTTTTTTTTTTTCCTTTAAGAGTTGGGGCTGTCTCTGTCCAGTAACACATTTAGTCTGTGCAACTTCCTGGTTGACTAACTCCTCTGTAATTTCCTAGGAGTGAGAGTGTTCCAGTCCTCACCAGCAGCTACTAGCCTGAACTTTATTGGAGGCCCGGCCATTCTTCTGGGTCTCATTGCTATGGCCCGTGATGACCACACCATGTATGCGGCTGTCAAAGTCCTGAACTCCATTCTGAACAGTAGCCCAATGAGTGAAAAATTGATGAGGCACATGGGTGGATACCAGGTAGATATTCTCTCCTTTGTTCAATCCAGATATAATCTTTCTCTTGGAGAGCCTTAACCCGTTAATGGTAATGGTCCAAGCATATCCTTGCTGTCAGCCCTTAACAATTGTAACCATGGAAATTATGGGATCTTCGGGATGGGTGTATGGGAAAGGGTTCTAAATTCTTTGCTTACAATCTCCAGGAGGTTCTATAACAGTATATGTGCAGATGGGGAAAGTGAGGACAGATGCCTGTTGGGCAGATGTGATCCAGTAATGGAAGGTGTCATGCTGCCCATATTAAGAAGGCTACAGTTGATAATGCTAGCGCAGCAGATCTGTGAGTGACCCATCCTCCACCTTTTACCAACACACTTCATCCCTCCTACAAGAAACCACTTCTTAGGCAAATGTTTTGCTTCTTCCTCTTGGCTTATCCAGCCTAAGAATAATCTCTGCCGAGTGCCCAGTGTAGAGCTGACTAGGAACTGCTGTGGCTTAGTCTCCAGTGTTGTGTATTAGGAATTGTGCTGAGGTAAATAAGTGCTATCTGCATTTCAAGCTATATATTGATTAGGTCTGCCCTAAATTCATCTTTCAAGCCTGAAAGCTGTGCAGACTAAGAGTTCAGTTGGCTCAAGATTTTGAGAGAACCGGGGAAAGTTTTGACTGTGTAGGTAGTATTGGATGGATTAAGGCTGAAACATGGAGTTTCAGTTCAGTTTCATTGACTTTGTTTATTCTGCATAGGCTAAACAGAGTCTCATGTAACAGAGAAGACACTTTAGCAAAGATGGTTCCAAACAACACTGTTGTGTTAAAATAAGGGCTTCAGTAATGACTGCAAACTTTCCATTTTCCCAATTTGTGAGTTGTTCATAAATTTATCCTGATTCCTATGAATATATTTATCATACCTAAGTATTGCTTACCCAATAGCTTTTCTAGGGGAATGTCAGCCTTTAGATTGTGTGCAGGCTGTTCGTTTTGGCTCCATGCTCATGGTGTTCTCTCAGTGTGACTGATCACCATGTTGCAGTGGAGTGGTTTTGCTCATTGTTCGGACATCTGAATGTAGCCAACTAATAAAAATTATTTTGGTATTAATATATTTCTTAATACATATTTTCAAATGAATGTCTGTTCTTCCTAAGCTATTTAAAATGTAGTGATTTTCTAAGTGTTTTTTCCATATATTGGAAATTGATTGAATAATCAAAAATAGACTCAGCTGAAGAATTGGGAATTGTCACAGAAATGTATCCATTTCTTTTGAAGAGGTCAAAATTCAATTTTTTTTTTTTTAAAGCCTACACCATTTGCAAGCAACTAAGAATACAAGTCCACAAAGTGTAGAGAATCTAACGTGCTTACTTACAATTATATTTGTATGTTTTTGGTAGATTCCATTCAGCATAATATGGTATGTATTTTGCTGCCTTTCAATGCCACAAAGTTGTTAAATCCCTTCAAGAAATTTAATCTTTCATTTATCACTCAAAACTTTATGCCCGAATTGAAATCTTCACTTGCTTTATGATAGTTATATATGAAGTATGCTACAGGTATGACTACTGCTGCTAGGTAAACTGTGCATCTGCCTTCGATTCAATCAGAGGTGGTGCTCTATTTTAGTATGTAGTCTAGTATATTTAGCATGTAGCTTTGTACTTGGCATGTACTTACATAGTCTTTTTTTTCAGTTGCTGGCATATCTTTTGAAGAGGAAGACACAGCTGTTAAACAACAGGATTTTACAGCTAGTGTTTTCCCTAGTGGGCACAGCTGAACTTGGCTTTGAGTCTTCCGTTATCAAGAATTATAGTGCATTCCAGTATGTCCTCTGCAACTTTGAGGTAAAACTGTAGCTATTACTTTGTAGGTTTAGCTCTATTAAAGATGGTCTATAATACGAGGTTTGGTTTGTTTGTAGCACCTCCTGGATCGGATGTTTGGGGTGGAGCAGGGTGCGATGATGTGCCACACCATGGCTCTCCTGGGGAGGTGGTGGCTCCTGGCATGGCTGGAGGAGCACAGGCAGTGTGGCTCCCTGCTGCTCCCTGGTGCAGTTTTTGGGGTGTTTCCACAGAATTCACAAGCGCATGCTCCTCAGGGCTAGCTCAGGAGTAGCAGCTCCTCATGCTGGCAGAAGACTTCCTACTGCTTAGTTGGGGACAGCTTCCCTTGGTGAGAAGCAGTCTGCGACTCTGAGCTCCTCCTTTTCCTTCTTAGCTTTTATATCCCTGCCTTTCACAGCAGTGAGATCAGTCATTGTCCCCCTACCCCTTTCTTATTTCTCCATCTAGGTGATATTTGTATCACCCAAGATGGCTGGAAGTTATTGGGTCTGGGTCTGAAATAAAATCTCCCTGACTTGGGGATATTTGAGAGTTTTCTCAAATGTGGTCTGGGTTAGCTCTATACGCTGCAGGACTGACTTCCTACTTTCCTACAAATGTGAATTATGCACTCTGGAAGTGGATATACTTTTTACCTGCCCTTTCCTTTTCACTTCTCTTTCCTTGCCTCCAAAAATGTACCTGCTGCTCTGTTGTGTTCCTCCTTTCTGGACAGGAAAAACAGTTGGTGCAGACTAAAAACATTATTTATAGTTTTCTTTACAGTGCACTGTTGTAGCAAAATATAATCCATGCACATTTACACAACAAAATGACCTAGTGTTCTACACAAATGAAAGTGACAGTTCATGATTTTACTGTCCCCAAACTACTTGTTACTGTTTCTCTGCCACAGATTACAGTCCCCTCAGCTCAACAGAACAGTAAAATCTCTGCTTTCCTTTGTCTTTCAGCTTTGGATGACAGCACCAGAAAATCTTGACCTTGCTCTTTTTTCTCATCTTGTGGAGATCCTGCAGTCCTCCAGGTACGTAGCTGGCATCTAAATCAGAAGCATGTGCAACAAGCTTATCTGATGGAAAGGCTACCTGGTGACCTGGGTTACGTGGAACCAGTGATGTGCAATGAAAGTTAAAATATGTACTGGGAAAAAGAAAATCTGAATATTTGAGCATGAAACTTTTTTTTTAAACTTTTTATAAATGGTGATGTATTTAAAACCAAAATACAACCTAGGAAGATCTTTTTAGAACGATATACTTAACCAGTTCGACTATAGTGAAATGTATCTGAAGAGACATAGTAAGGCAGAGCGGCTGAGTAGAGCAGGATGCTAGATTCCTTCTTTTTGGCACCAGAAGGCTCTATGCAGAGCCCTCTGTCTCTTGCTGAGTTTTACAAGAATAGCTTTTATTACCACCAACTCACTGCTTAAAAAGTCAATAACGTTGTTTTCTTTGAACTCATGGGAATGCAGCAGTTTCTAGGGGAGAAGACAGATGCTGGAGGGGGATAGTGAACACACAAAGAAGTCTTCAGATCTCCACTGCTGACACATATTCAGTTTGTCTGATAGTGTTTGATCAGTTGCCAAGGCGACATCAGAAGCCAAAGGTGCAAAGTGCCAGTGCAACCTGAGAATACTTTTGGCTGAAACCTCACAAATTTGATTCTTTCAAGTAAAAGCTTTTAATAGTCCCTGTGCTTTTACGCAGAGATGGATATCAGAATGCTGAAGTTGCCTACCAGGTGCAAATGGTGCCCAAGCTCGTTTTCCTCTTCAATGATGCTGAAATCTGTAACTCCAGGGTCACTGTGGTCTGCACTATTCTCTCCCATCTGTTGCAAGGATATTTTAACACGAGGGATATTCTCAGGTAACCTCAAAGTCTAAGTCTGCAGCATTTTTCTCGGTTTGCAGATGAGTTGTTCTCCTGCCCATGCTGGAGAGAGATCAAGCAGAACTTTCTCCTCCTCCTTTTTGATAGGAGGCCCAAATCTCTGGCAACTCCAAGGTCCCTGCTGACAAAATACTCTCTCATACTTGCAACGTAGAATTCAATTCACCCTTGTATTTATGTATGAGGTTCCCCATGGGTCAGGTGATGACCCTTACAGTGGTAGCACAAATAGTACCGCTGATATGACTGTGACTGCTCAAAGTCTGGACTTAATATTTGTCGTCACTAAAGCCTGCCCCCTAAAGTGTCGTAGCCCCGGAAATATTGCAACCTGGCTCCAGGAGGTAACTATGTACCTAATCCCATTTGCCTCCGTTATGTCCTAGTTACTATATTTTCTTGTTCTTGAATCTCAGTTCAAGAATTAGCATGTGCTAGGTGGGATCTCACAAAGTGGAGAGTTTAAATCCTTGTTTGCTCTCCACAGAATGTAAACGCTGCTCCTTTTGTAGTCTCAGCCTAGCTGCATCAGCCTGTAGACTGAGTGAGGGCCACACAGTGTTATCTGTTGCCATCTAACTCTAGAGGAAATGCACTGTACAGATGACGAGTTGCACTTTTCACGTTAAGAGGTTAGTGAGGGATAAGCTGACATGTGAATTTCCTGATTGCCAGTTGCTGCGTGGAATTGTCTGCATGCATGTTCCTATCTTGGGGCATGTGAGTTAGCCTATTCCATTTTTTTATGGAGCTGTAAGTAACCTGAATTTGTTATATCAAACTTGCCATGTGGGAAAGAGCATGCATGAGCATCTTTTTTTTAATCTGATGACTTGTTGCTCTGTGGTAATTTGTTTGGTTGTTAGGCCCAAAGATGAGGAAGTTGCAACTTTTGGGATGTTTTATTCATTGCTATTTGCCTATTAAGAACAAACCACGCACTTAAGTGTTAATAAGGGAATGTAGATAATGACAGACCCTATCCTTCCAGCTCCAGGAGAGCAGAGACTATAGCAGGCTCTCAGCAGCGCTGAAAGGTGCTGGGGTTTCTGCTGGTCCCAAACTTTTGGTACATCTATTGGAAATTGCAGCATGTGGGGTCGCTCCTGCAGAATGATGATGCTCTGTCCTGTAAGAAAGCCCTTCTTGTGGGCAGGAGGTCATGGAGTTGCAGTAGATGTGTGTGTCGCATTAATCCATGAATTCTTAGAACCAGGTAATGTGTTAAAGCAGAATAAAGGTGAAAAGAGGTTGCCAGTCCTCCTTCCTGAGTAGCTGCTGTGTTTTTTCTGCTGTCCCCTGTGTGCCTAGAAACCAAGTGCTGATCGCAGTGAGCCACAAGGAGTTCAGAATTGTCCCCCCCCACCCCAGCCTTATGGTTCAGTATATGTAGACAGACCTTTAATAACCCGAGAAGTTAAAATGAATGTGATAAATATTTTTTGATTGTAGAACAGATATTACTTGCACATGTAGATGGATATCCTTTTTATTTGCTTCCTAGTTTATGAACTTTTGCATTCCTATCTCAAGGCTCTTTTTGCAACCGTTAATTTCAAGCAGTCATCGTTAATGAGTGCTGAGATTTGCATGTAATCTCAAAGTAACTAACTTAATAGCTTTCATTCTACTGATCAAAATTGGTTCCCCCTTTCTTTGGAAGGATTGGATTGTTCCTTGTTTATACTTTGAAACCCTCTTCCGTGGATGAAAATCTGATTTGCCTGGATGGTGTAGCTGAGATGCCCGATGAAGGTGAGGAGCTACCTTTGACACGTGGGTTCTGATGGATGGCTAAGTGCTTTCCCTCTTCCTCAGGCCATGGTGAACCCTAAATGCAACATAATGCTTCTGCCTTCAGTAGAAGGAAGAGACCTGCCTCAAATGACTTGGTCTGGCAAGGGACAGGCTGCATTCAGGTGACCTGAAATTGTGGGAAAAACTCATATTGCCACAGTGCCCTAACACGAAGGGTAGTGCAGTGATCTAAATATGTCCAGGAAGCCTGGTTTATAGCAGGATCTTCCTTCTGTTAAGTAAGTTGTTACCATGTTGTTCGCTCTCTGCCTACTAGGCCAGCAGTACTGTGACTGCTTCGTCCAGAGCTTACACGGTTTTGGATTTCACAGACTTCCACTAAGATGAAGGGCTGTTAAGTTGAAATTGTCCCACAAACAACAACATGGGCCGTTAGGTGGAATAAATTTTCACTTGGCATCCTGGGACAGGGTTGATATGAACACGTTGTTGCTGTTGTCTAGCTGTAGTGAATAATTATGTGGAACTCTGTACCTTTTAAAATACCTACCCGTTTATATCTATCTTATGTGTGAGATCTTCCAGTCAGCTGGCTCTTTCATTGTCTGTGATCTTTCAGTTGAGATTATCGCAAATCTAAACAATCTACTGTATTAAGGAGACACTGATAGCTGTAGTTTTTAACTATAGAAATCATAGCTAGAAAGCACATCTCATATTGCCTGCTTACGTTTCTCTCACTAATTAACCTGAGATTGTTTCCTATGGATTATTCTTCAACATTTAGTCCAAATGAGTTGTAAATAACTCTGAAGATAGGGCTTTGAAAAATGTAAGCACTGATCATTTTTGATTTTAGCAGGAATTCCCGTGTCCGCAATCTGATGTCTGCATCTTTTTACTCTGCAGAAGACTGATACAAGTACTTCTGTTGGGCTAATCTGGTGCAAACAAGGTTGTTCATAAAAGCATTGTCAGACATGCATTTTGTCTCTTCACTACTCTTCATTACCTTCTGATACTTGTAGCCTTAAGCCAAACATCTGGAAAGACGATCTGTCTTCGAAACCAGTTACTGAAGATGCTGTTAGATGTAATGCACTCAGATAAACTTCATCTGTCCTCTGAGTAAGTAGAAACAATTTAGGAAGGCATGCGTAAGTGTCTGTGTCTTCTAGATTTGCTTTTTATCAGTGTTTGACCAGCACTAAACACACTAATAATATTTGACTGTCAACAAAGTGATATGTAACAGCAGATTTGATTTGGAGTTGCTTTCTTTCAGTGATTTATCTGGGAGTCACAGTAATTTCCATTTTGGAAAAGGATGTTTTCAGAAAAGTCCTCAAAGGAGGAAATCGGAGATATTGCTGTTAGTTCTACATTGCAAGGGGAGAAGAAATAACAGTTGTCTTGAAACTCAATTCAGTCTAATGTGGGATTACTTAAGTCCCGGGATATTAATCATGAACATATAGTTACTGTATAGTTCTACCTTGTGTAATTGAAAGGCAGAGTTCATATTGCTGACTGCCTTAACTGTGCATTTCTACTTGTTTAAAATATATTGGACTTCTGAATTTAAACCAAAATACTGAATTTATTAGATTGAAAGATCTAGTCTGTAATGTAGGTTATGTCAGTTACTGATGCATCCTCTCAGAAGGAACTTCATTCATATCATGAGCTTTTTGCCTAGCAGTAGTATAAGGTTGGACTGAGTGGGAACAGACTGGCTTGAACAGTGTTCACGAGTATATCAATCTCCAGAATTCTGTATTATGGTAAAACTTTAACTGGGATTTTTCCACGGCTACCTGAGTACCTAAATCACTTAGCAGTAATTCTAAATAAAATCACCTGTCTCTTACCGTATCTCCTTTCATATGCTTTTACTTCCCTGTTTGTCCCAGGGTGCGAGAAGAAACATTCTTGGCACTGGGGCCGGACTGGTTTCTGCTCTTCACCCAGAGCTACCTGCACTCCACCACAGTTGTGCTAGGAATCAAGCTACTTCTGTGCTTCCTCCACAATCGTTCCCTGCTGAAAAAATTCAAGGAGGGGATAGTGGCTGGGCGCTGGCTGGAAAACAGCTCTGCAGGGTTGGGTATTCTAATGGGTATGTGTTGGCATAATGTTCCCAAAGCACGCTCTTGCAGGGAAAGCGTTATGAAAACGACACTGACATGGTAAAAGGTCTTGATCCAACTCCTGTGAGAGATGATAGGAGAATTCCCACTGACCTTATTAGACCGAGAATCCGTATTGTCTTCGAGAGCAAGTTTGCCCTAGTACTTCAAATTTTCTGTGCTGTAGTTGGCATTTCAGATTGGCAGTCACAGGGAGAAAGGCCTTTTTGTCTTGCAGAAAATCAGGCTTGCCAATAAGTCTGTGAGGTGTTCGGATGTCAGCTTCTGCCTTGAAACCTTCTGTTTCTTTAAGATTTGTTCAGCATCCTTTTTACTAATTAGACCTGTGGGTAAGGAAGAGGGAAGAGAAAGGAGGAGGAATTGAGGGAGAGTCTCTTGTAAGAGAAGTGATAATGGGAAAAATTGTTACCTGATAGTTTCAAGAAGAACCATGAGAACCATTGAGATTGCAGCCTAGCAGAGTACTGAGTAGCCTGGGACACACACACAGATGGGGGTCGGGTAGGTCAGTAATCCTCTGATGTGCAGTCATTCATAAGAGACTTCTTCAGAACGTTCTCCTTCCCCCTTCCCTTTTTTTTCCTTCTTTAAAGATAATTTAAAACCTCAGACTCCAGTACCTGATAACAGCTCCTTCTTGATTTTTGGGTTTTCTGTGTTGCAAACATGCCTGACTGAGCATGTCCACGTCCCTGAGATCTACTTACTGGTGGCAGGGCTCTTTCTGGCAACTCCACAGTGTGAACCACCTGAAACAGCCAAGGTAAGGCCTTGAAAAAATAGTGGGCAAGCAAGAAACTTCCATTACTTTACTCCTTTGGCATCCCATGACCTTGTCTGTGACGGATTTCTCAGGCAAGTTAACCCTAATTGTTGTGGTGGGTTTTTTTTTTTTTTTGATAGTTAAAATTAGTCATCCACACTTTAAAGATGAAGTAAGTTAACTCTGCCTTAAGGAAATTTGCATTCTAAACAAACTTGTTCACATAGGGATTGAATGGCATTTAACTAATGCACTTGAGAAGGTAGTTCCGATTCGCTTTCCTCTCTGTCCTTATGTAGTCAAGGCTCATTAAAATCTCCGAATTAGTGAATTTGGGTACTTTCCCCCGTGTCCTTAGAAGCCATAAGGTTCTTTTCCCCAGTAGTGCCAAAGATATCTCTCAAAGAGGGCAATCCATTAGTGCTGTCCTGAGGAAATGCAAGAAATAGAGGGAAGAGCTGGTGGAGGTAAAGAGGATATATATTTTTTTGCTGATGTGGAGAAAGCGGGAGCTGTTGTTGATGGTTTTATATTTCAAGAGACTTGAATTATTTATATCTCCTCTCCTTACAGAGAGATCTTGACTCTATGCTGCAGTGGATCTTGCAGCACCACTTTACAGAGAATGTCCTCAAAATCGGGTTGTGTGCAGAGGCAGCCACTTTGCTACTGGAAATGGTTAAGGTCACTGTGGACAAGGTAAGCATGTTGTAGCAGAGGCAGTACAGCGTGAACTGCCAACTTTACCTGAGAGTGTTGGATGTCTGCGGCAATCTTTATGTGTAAGCAGAACCTTCCTGTCCTCTCACAAGGCCCTGCTCAGCAGAGCGGTGGCCAGGGAAGAGAAAGCATCAGTAGAGCTATTGGCATGGTTATGGTACGTAGCAGGGATTGCAATGGGCTCATGCTCAAGACCTCTGAACACAGAGATGGATCTTGTCCACAGTGTGACCCATTTTTCCTATTCTTGGTGATGAGGATATGTCACACTTGTGACTGGGCTTGTAGACTTCTGGCTCAGTGTATATCCTAAGTATGCAAGCTAGGAGTTAGCTGCCCTGGCTATTCTGTGACTATGCCATGTTTGCTGAGCTGCTTAGGAATACCTGGAGAGGAGCAAAAATGAGCTCATCCGAGTGAGAGAGGAATGCTGCCTTGACTAGTTGTGCGCATATCTGTGTTCAGCCTATTGTAGATGCAGAAGCCTCCTGGGAAATTGCCTATCCACGGAATATTATCCAGTTTCTGGATTTGGTCTATCACAGTTATACTCAGGACCTTGTGTGGCGCTGTCCTGACTTCTTGAAAACTTTGGCTATGGTTGCCTTCCACTCTGGAGCACCCAAGGTATGTGCATGGGAGCCAGCAAAAGCTCTTCAACTTAGATATGTGTAGCTAGGAGGAAAAATCAACTTATAGGAGAGCACAGGTTAAAAAGCATTGCTGTCTGTCTGCATCTGCAGGGAGGCTCTGAAGGTCTTTTGTCTCCTGATGGTCCAGCCATTGCTGAAGGGAAGGGCTGTGTTGATCCTTCATCTCTCTCGCTCCTACCACACCCTGCCAAGAAACAAGTGTGGGATTTCATGCGAGTCCTCCTGATGGACAGTCTGCTCAACATCCCAGCGAACAAACAAGGGCATCCGTTTGAGCTGCTTATTGAGGTCTCTCATGTAGTACTCGGGCATTGTTGCTCTACTTTGTGCTGGGGGTGGAAGGACAGGAGATGTCCTACTAGTGACCTAGTGAAAGAAGGGGTAACAATGGCTAAGAGGTATCTTTAGTCAGCATTTTCAGCAATTCTTGTTCTCTAAAATACTATTCTCAGTCTACCTGTGGGGGCTTATATGAGAATGAGAGGCCAGATCACATCTCTTGGAGAGCATGCATTGCTTCCTGGCAGATCTGGACAGCGCGCTTAGTGGAATGAAATTCCTACTTTTTCTGCAAGGAGGAGACTCCCTTTCTGCCTTCTCTGCATTCATGTGAACTAAGACAAAATGCTACCCCTAGACAACAAATGGCATTTTCCAGGCAGCATTTAACATTAAAGTAAGGCATGAAAAAAATTGCCTTTTCTCTAGTAGTGTCTGCATGTCACTAGAGCAGCCCTTAAATTCTGTTGAGAACAAAAGATTTCACACAGAGCATTTCCATTCCTGTGTGCTGATTTGAGATAACATTTTCTTCTCAGTGCTCAAATAAAAAAAGAAACAACTGCCTTTCGGCCCAACCCTCCTTTCCCTTTTAGAACAGATTAATACAAGCTGTAACAGATGAGTCTGAATTATGGATTTCAACTACACAAAGCACTGGAAAGGTTCAATCAACACAGTCTAAAGACAAGGAGAATGGAAAAGTTAGGCTGCAGGTCCAAATTCTCAATAATCCGGGTGTTCCAGATGAGAGTTCTGATCTCACCAGACTCAGTTTTGTAAGACAGATTGCAACAAATATAAGAAGCTTGACTGCAACTGCTATTTTACAAGTTAAATCATCTTGCAGAGTGGCAGTTCCCTAAAGACTCTCACATCTTTCAGAGCACCAGTTCTCTAAAGGCATCATAGTAAATTCCCAAGGTTTAATCACAATAGAGTTTAAAACAGAGGATGGCTCTTCTGACTGCCTGAATCCTGAGCCTGCTAAGAGGAGCTGAAATTCTGTGAGGGCAAGATTTCTTGGGAACCACCTAGGAACCTAGGTTTTTAAGGAAAATATTGGGCATGCTGAACTGTCCTAGACTGTACTGGGTATCTCCTGGAATACTTACTCACTTTCTTGAGCAAGACTTTAATTGATTCTGAATCTGTAGGTGTTTTTTTTTTTTTTTTTTTTTAAAAAAAAAAAAAAGGCCAGAAATTCAGTGAAATCAAAGGGCTTAGCGTGGATAAAGGCTGCCAGTGAATTTCAGAGTCTGATTTCCTGGCTGTTTTCCTGCTATGCTAATGTACGTATGGTGACTATACAGGCTTCTCCGGAAGATGCCACCGGTGAGCAGAAGAGACATTTTCAGACAAAAGTCTTACTGTCTGCTATGGATGTCTTCCATGTTTCCAGCCAAGGTGAGGGGAAAACAAGACCAAGAGGTGAGTGGTGAGAATGAGATCATTAGCTAGATGACGTCTGGCGTGTAGCTGTAATTGACTAACACTCAGCTCAGCAGGTTGGACAGTCCGTTCAGTTCTGCTATAGACCTAAACTAGTAGTAGTTGCCTAAACTCCTTTTGTGTTGCCATGTTTCCAGAGAGACGCCTCCTTCCTTCCCCCTTCACCTATGGGGAACAGATTCTGAAGATTAAAGAGGGGGTGCTTAAGAGGAAAGAAACCTAGGTTTACCCTTGAGTGCTTCTGGAAACAACCCTGGGAACTTAGTTGTTGCCTTTTTCCTTTCTCAGTCATTAACTGGACCGATCCTTCATGATCGTATGTAGTAGTGTGGTTGGTTCTGTTCTTACAGTGAAACTGGTGAACACGTATCTGCTAGACCTAAAGTGTTCGTAGACACTTCCCACCTCTGTGACAGTATGACCTCAGACTGTCCCTTTCTCAGCCCTAGAAACCTCAGACCTCACATGGCTGTGTTTTTTTGCATGTCAGCTGGCTGTGGGATAGTCAACCCTCTTGTATCCTCTGCAGGGAGCAGTGATCCTCATGGCACTTCAGAATCAACTGCATCTACATCCGTAGTGAATGTTGCTTATTTTGCTCAGAAGCTGATTGAGAAGCTGAACAGCAGAATGTTTGCTGCTGACCCCAAGCAAATCCTTCTCTTTATTGCCAAACAGATTGTGGTTGTAAGTCACATAAATGATTTTTTTTCCAGCGGGTTATCAACCCGTTTTAATGTGCCCTGCTTCACACTGAGTTTGTGATGCCAGAATTCTCCAGAAAGGGGGTGCGATCCGTTTGATTGTGGTTATCCTGTTTTCTTACATGAGCACATAATGGCCTGAAATGACAGTAAGAGCTAGATGGTGCAGCTTAAAGAAGGGATAATTAGTTCTTTTCCATGTGCCACTGTCTACTGGTGATATACGTGTTGCCAGATGGGGATAAATTAATCTCTGCCACAATACCAAGGATTTCAATAGAACTACAGGAAAATTGAATTTGTACCCAGCAGGTAGTTAGGGGAATTTTGCCAAAATAAGTTTGCAGCAGCTTAAATGAAGTGAGGGGAGTGGATCCTTGAGAAGAATGTTCTTTGAGCAAGCCAAGTACTCTGCTGTTTTCACAGGTGTTAGAAGGCAGCTTTTCTCAAAAGGAAGTTTTCCTCAGTACCCTGTACAGCTGTCTAAACCGAGCCATCCTGTACTGCCTCTCCAGACCACAGCAGTCACTGCCTGAACAGTTTAACATCCTGAACACTCTCAATGTCCTGCAGGAGCAGTGGGACATTATCTTTGCAACTTACAACTCAAATAATAATTTCATCGTCTGCCTCATGCACTGCCTTTGCCAGCTGAATTCGGGCAGGTACAAAAGTCAGTCTCAGTAAACATTTATTTATGTCTGGGTGCTGTTGTGTATGTCACTGGGTGCCAAAGGGAAAATTGCACGTGTTTTTTCACACAAATTAGGCAGTCTCAGTTTTGGGGAACACTAGAAGTTGAGATTGAGCTGGATTCAGCCAGACTAAGGGCTTTGGATGTACCGTATCGTAAAAAGCCTTCGAGCTTGGTGCGCTGGGGCTCAAAGCACTGTTCTGCAGCTTCCTGCATTGGACAAGCCTTCCTCACAGATTTGCTGTCTGTTAACATGGCTGAATGAAGCCACTTAGGGAATGGGAAAGATGGTCTTTTTTCTCATACTTTTTTTTATTTCTTTCTAATGAAAAACAGTGACAAATATTTTGCTTTCATATTTTTTTAATTTAGTATAGAGGGGGGGAAAGGTTACTAATGTGGTCGGTGTTCTGGGAGCAAGGAGTTGGTTTTCAGCAAGAATGGGGAAATGAACAGTTGTTCAGTCAGAAGGCTGTTTTCTGCCTGAAACACTAGTGAGCAGAAAACTTTCTACACCTCTGTTGCTCAAATGTGGGTTAGTATCTGTGTTTGTGGGTATAATAAGCAAGGGACAGTAGTAATATAGTATAGTAGTATTATAACATTCAATTCCTTCCCCCCCCCTTCCGTAAAGGGTCTGTAAATCCTGTGTCGTGTCAGAGACACCCAGGCAAGCTTGCATGTTTTTCTGAGCAGTTCCCTTAAATTTGCACATAGGTTTAACTGCTGCTCTTCATTAACCAAAATATTTGTATGTATCCATTTTGCGTGTTTAGCATTTTCCAGATCATAATCAGCTTAGTCACTTAAGAGTAGTAACTGCAGTTGAACAAACGTGAGCTGTCTTCTGGGTAGTTGACCCACAAGTCCATTATTGAACTGAGGGCCTGGAAACTTTCTTCACGGAATGTGGGTTAGAATCACTCCTCAGGCACACAGGTGGCCATTCTCTGAGACATCTGCCATAGGCTAACTTAGTGAGCTGGTGATTCTGATCCAGCAGCCATTCTTATGTGGGTATATTTAAAACGTATAAAAAACTGTGCATGGATCTTTTGACTTTTACTTGGCTATGAGCTGCAAAATTGTGGTCCTGCTGATGTTGTTGGGAGTTTTGCTGTTGACTTGGATAGGGCTAGAACATCCATGCCCCCATATCTTTGCTTTTCTTATAGGTGATGTGTCAGAAGAATGCTTGGTAATGTAAGCTGGGGAGTCATTTTGGACAGTTCTCTCTTGTCAAAAGAAGGAAATAATTGGCCAGTGCTTTATTCACTATAACTGTGCTTGCTGTTTCAATGGATACCTTCTGTGCTGCTTAGAGGTTCAGGAATACTTCCAGTTTGCTCTGTCTAAATTGAATCTAGTGATACAATATCCCATTTGATATGAGCTGCACTTCCTGAGGTCTTTTCCAGCTCCATGATTGTTCTTATTGCAGTCACATAATAATTTTCAGACAAAAATGATTTAGATGGGTAAAAATCGCTAGTATGCGGCAACACTATAAACATTAAAAAAAAAAATACGCAAGTGTTGGTGTTATCCAAAAGCCAAACATGGCAAATCCAGGAAATCTGAATTATTATATTTAAAAAAAAAAAAACCAGAAGGTAAAAAAGGTAGCTTTGCCTATCCAAGAGATTTTGCTCTCCCCTGTAGTGGTGCCTAGTTACAATTAAAAGAACATCATATATTAAGAATACCTATACTCTTAAGGTCAGAACAAAGGTCAGTGGGTCAGAACAAAGATCCAGCTGGCCCCATCTCCAGCATTTCCCATATAATGGGGGACACCTCTGGTGAAGAGATTCAGAGCAAAGAAGCAGCATGAACGATGCTCAGGAGAGGCTTCCACAGCTGGATGTATTCTGGCTACATCAGCACAGACCTGTGCTCCAGCTAATTCAAGAGGGCAGTGTGAAGGAATCACACACAGAATCACACAGAATGGTTGAGGTTGGAGGGGACCTCTGGAGATCATCTAGTCCAACCTCCCTGCTCAAGCAGGGTCCTCTAGAGCGTGTTTCCCAGGATTGCGTCCAGACGGGATTTGAAGCGTCTCCAGGGAAGGAGACTCCACAGCCTCTCTGGGCAACCTGTTCCAGAGCTCTGTCACCCTCCCAGGAAAGGAAATTTTTCCTCACGTTCAGATGGAACTTCCTGTGTTTCAGTTTGTGCCTGTTGCCTCTTGTCCTGTCACTGGACAAGACTGTTCTCACCACGGAGAAGAGACTGGCCCCATCCTCTCGACAGCCCCCCTCCAGATGCTTGTACACACTGATGAGATCCCCCCTCAGTCTTCTCTTCTCCAGGCTAAACAGGCCCAGCTCTCGCAGCCTTTCTTCATGGGAAGAGATGCTCCAGTCCCTTCAATCATCTTTGGAGCCCTCTGCTGGGCTCTCTCCAGGAGTGCCATGTCTCTCTTGTCCTGGGGAGCCCAGAACCGGACACAGTACTCCAGGGGAGGCCTCACCAGGGCTGAGGAGAGGGGCAGGATCACCTCCCTCCACCTGCTGGCAACACTCTGCCTAATGCACCCCAGGATCTCATTGGCCTTCTTGGCCACAAGGGCACGTTGCTGCCTCATGCTTCACTTGTTGTCCACCAGCACTCCCAGGTCCTTCTCTGCAGAGCTGCTTTCCAGCAGGTCAACCCCCAGCCTGTACTGGTGCAGGGGGTTCTTCCTCCCTGGGTGCAGGACCCTGCACTTGCCTTTGTGGAACTTCGGGAGGTTCTTCTCCGCCCACCTCTCCAGCCTGTCCAGGTCCCTCTGAATGGCAGCGCAGTCTTCTGGTGTGTCAGCCACTCCTCCCAGTTTTTTATCACCAGCAAACTTGCTGAGGGTGCACTCCGTCCCTTCCTCCAGGTCACTGATGAATACATTGAACAAGACTGGGCCCAGGACTGACCCCTGGGGGACAACACTAGCTACAGGCCTCCAAGTAGACTTTGTGCCACTGACCACAACCCTCTGAGCTCTGTCATTCATCCAGTTCTCAATCCAGCTCACTGTCCAGATACAAGTTAATGGGGAAGTGAAAGGGTAAAACACATAGAACACAGAGGGATCCATGGGATCATGAGGAATGCTCCTTGATTTTGAAAACTAGACTGGCAATGATTTAGTTACCTACTTTCTGTAAATCTTGCAGTGTCATGTGATGTAATCACTGTAAGCAGTGGTGCTTGGGTATATTGACCTGATAAATAAATCAAGTGGGAGTGGATGTGTAGAAATACCTTTAGCTTTTTCATTGTCCTCGTGTTGCTCTGTTTTCTTCATATGCCCTCGTCGTCTTTGTCACAGCTATCCAGAAGGTTTTGGGGTTGATGCAAAACCCAAACTCACTTCATATCACCAAATTTTTCTTGCTCCCAGTGAAGAGGAGAAGGGCAGCCTGCCTACTCCAGATGATGGTGAGTTATGACACTTTGTATCTTGGGCTTACACGGCAGGAAAGTGCCTAAACATCCGTCAGAGCAGCTGTGCAAATGCTGCTTAACTGCCTCTTCAGAGTATATAGGTATTGCAAGCACAGAATAGAGAGTGAGGAAAGTTGTGGTAAAAATGATTTGTCTTCATATCACACATTTTTATCCAAAATTCAGACCCCACGATCTCAGAAGTGAGAGATCTCAGTTTGGGGATCTCTTCTCTCCATGGTGGCCAGTGTCAGTGCCCAGCTGTGTGCTACTTGCTGCTCAGTACCTTTTTCTAAGACCCAATACAGAGCTTGAAGCCTGTGTTGTACACAGGAAGAAATATATGGCTATTCTAAGAGAAGACAGTGGGTTGGAATGAGGAATTTTTGGGCTGGATTCAGTGCGGGGGCTGTCGGTTAAACCATACTGCATAGGGATGCTCAATTTTTGTGTCTTGAGTTGGAGCTAATGCAACCAAATTGGTCTGATTTGCAGGGCAGCAAAACAGCTCAGCGTTTACTTGTAGAACAACTTATTGCTATGCTAAACTGTTTGATGAGTTGGCTACCTCCCTCCCACTGTTTGTAATGACATTTGTCAATATAAAATAATGTCTTTTATGTGCTTTAGCACTCTATGTAAGATATTAAAGATCATCAAACTTCTGATGGGATGATTTTTCAAAGCAGAACCAGGTAGAATCGTCTGTTACTCCTGCTCTTTTTAATCAGGGAGTTGAAATACAGCAAAAGAAATGTCTTATTGCTTCCTGTCTTAGACTAAATAGACTGGCTTAGAACCTATGAAGCTAACAGGCAAAATGGAGTAACTCCACCAATTATTCTAGACCAATGCTGTTCTAAATGAGATTTTCTTTTCCAAATGAGATGGTTTTGCTTTGTCTGCTGCTTGACTTCTTACACAAAAAAATGATTCCTCATTTGCTGTTTCCTTTGTTTTCTAGTTCATCAAGAGATTCTGAGAACAGTAGAAATCATCTGGAAGCAGCTCATTTCTCAGAGGCGGCAGGCTCTGGAGGACGCTTACAAGATGGATCTCTCTGTAAAAGGAGGTGACAAAGAGTGGGAAATGAAGATAACTGAGATCACCCCTCTGTGGGAAGAAACGATGACAAAAGCTTGGCAACACTTGATAGGTCTCTGTTCTTTTCTAGAGCACTTACTACAACGAACAAAGGCATGGCAGAATAATGTTGATTCCTTGGTTGTACTCTTACTCTGCACATCGCTTCCTAGAAAAAACAGATTCTCATTCTCTACTCCAGTATTGTGATTAGAAGGATGTTTTCTGCATCATGACCGAGCCCTTCTTTAGTCTTCTGGTGATGATCTAAGACTAGTGCTTTACTTCAAGGCAGAAAAATCTCCTCAGACAGTCATATGTCATAGGAGAATTTGATTAGAGGGAGGATATTTGGGTGAAGAAGGACATCTCTATGTGTACAGCACTGCAGGATCCAGAGCTGCTGTGGATGTCTTGATACTGGTCTATGGCAGACCTTAATGAGGCTTTTACATAAAGACTTGAAAAGTACATGTTGATTCAATGTCCCCCTTATAAATAGAAGGACAGGCTAGCTGGAGTGCGGCTCTGTCATTTTGTTGTCTTTTGTAGTATATTTACTAACTCTGCACTTCCCCATGGGTTCACCTTCAAGTCTTACATGCCCTCTGTCTCTTCCCTCCCCCCCCCCCTTTTCTGTTCTTTCTTCTGGGCCACAGCATCTGAAAAGAAAGCTCTCCAGAATAAAGCAGGGCCTGGCCTGTCACAGAGCAAGCACAATTCATGGAGTGAAAGCCTCTCTTCAGCAATTAAGTTGATGCCTGGCCGAACCACAAAGGAAATGGGATGCAAAACTGAGGTAGAATCTGCTTTTTGTCTTTGTAGGCTCTGTAACCTGCTCTGAGCTTTTGAAAGAGTTCTGGAGAGCTTGTCTGGGCTTGAGAACCTTCTCTGTAAGTCTTCTGGCATGTTCTCTTGGAAATTACAGGCACTTACTGCTGTTAAGGCTCCTTTCCTAGACTTTAAGACCAGGAAAGACAATTATGAATGATTTTATCTGACCTCCTGGATGGTAGGGGCCAGAAGACTTCACTCAGGGTTTGCCTGAAGGTGTGATTCGAGCCAGTGAGGTAAGAATATGTTGTAACAAACATGTAGAGCCAAAGTTAAGCTCTGCTGGACTCTGAGGCCAGTTCAGGTGTTGGGAACTCTCAGGAGCACTTGGCAGAGATACCTACATGGCTCTGATTAGTCAGCTAGAGTGTTTTAGGTCTACCTCAGCACCTTGCTGTTGGAGCTGACACGGATGTGGAATCGTTTTAGACCAACAGATGGACCATAAGTAGAGCAATTGCATAGCTCGTCTGGAGCAGGGCAACTCTTAGACTTCCTACATGTGTAGGTGTTTCCGCTAGAGAATGCATGCAGCGGTGTATTGGCCCTGTATTTAGGAATCAAACAGCAATAGAAGCTCAAAAGCTGTGCCTGTAGCATTACTACTGGATTTGCTATTAGTTTTTGTCTGGTTATCAGACATCATCTAGATGATGTTTGTGGTGTTCTTGCACCTCAAATTAGTGACTTAAATCTTGCTTGTCAACATAGTCTATTAACTGTATTACTTCTGAGGAACTGAAGCCCAGGCATGCGAAGGTGCATAGTCATGTCCGTAACTTTAGATCTAACTAACTCCAATATGCTTAAAGTTTGGCATAAACTTCATCAGCTTTCTAAATAAGAGATTCAAGAAGTTAATTTTAAAAAAATCAAAACCAGAAATAAGGTAATGGACCTTTACAGTGAGCAGACTGGAGAATGCAACAGGCAGAGAGCAATAAACTGAAGGTTTGAAAGACCCTGAAATCCCCCTTCATGAGCTATTTGTGGTAGCAGTGTTCATCTTATGATGAGAACAGTGAAGTGTGAGAGTGGCTATTAAACCACATAGGTGTCCCCTCTTTGTCTGAGCAGAAACCTGATGTTTGTTTTCAGGCTGTGGCTCTGATGACAGAAGTGGTGGTGCCTAATGGTCTAGAGATCCACATTCACTGCCCTCATTTGCTATGGTCTTTTGTTTGACGTTGGTAGGTTTCTGAGTCTTGTTACACCCTATACTGCTAGCTGTAAAATGAGGGTGATAGATCAGCTATGAAGGCACTCTGAGGGTGCATGTTTTATTGAGCGTGATATGCTTAGTATAGCTTTGACTGCTGTAACCTCTGTTATTTGTAATGCTGTAGTAACAATGGAGCCACTGTCATGAACAGGAATGGCTTTATGCTAGGCAGTATGCACATGCAGAACTAAAAAATGATCCTTGACCTGAAGAACTTAAGTAGGCAGCCTTAGCACATAATGTATTCATGCAGCCTTTTTGCATGAGGCCTGGTTATAGCCCTTAAAGGGAAAACTTACGCAGCCTGTGCTTGTTTCTGCTTATGTGGCTGTATGTGAGTAACAGCAAGGAGTTGCTGGCTTTGCTGCTGCTTTTGGCTTGCATCACTATGTAAACCTTGTCCTTCAGATGCTGAAATGGGAGAAAGGGTCTGGTATTCCCACAGTACTGTCTTTTCCTTTTATATTCCATATGGAAGATTAAAGGTCCACATTTTTGTTTAGCCTCAAGAGATAGGGAGACAAGTGTTTATATAAAAGGGATTGGTCTGGAGTTTATGCACCATTCATACTGCCGCTGTTCTTGGGCATTCCTTGACAGAGACTGGATAAAGCTGGACTGTCTTTTGCATGTTTGAGCCCCTCCTTGGCTGAGAGAGAGAGAGGACTATTTTCCATATTTTTGGGCGTTTGTTCAGAATGCAAATAAAAAGCACCAGTTAGAAATTACTTCTTAAAGTACATTGAGGCCAGAGCAAGTGGCTTTAGGGTAGGGCTACGCTGCATTGACACAATAATCAGAGCTTCAGACCATGCTTAAATGGTACACCTCAGCACTGAGCATTCTAGTGTTAATGCACTGCTGAATGTATTTCTTCAGCAGGCTGATTTCTGCTGTTCAAGAGACAGTATAAGTCTGTCACAGCATCAGTTTAGGGGGTCTTAACTTTCTAGCTCAAGCTGTGGCACGTTGTGGCTTTATCCCCAGGAGCCACTAGTTCAGTTCCGGGTGTGTTGATCAGGAAGGCTGTGACATTCGAGTAACATGTCTGATAGCACCTTACTGGGCAACCGTTCTTTTCTCAACGTGCCAGAGCATTTTTCTCATTCCTTCACTTTGCTGCTTACAGAGCAAGATCTTCACAGGTACATATGTAGACTGTGATGTCATACTGCAAGAGCATCAACTATTTGCCCTGGGGTCTGTTTAATTATTTTTTAAAATTAATTTTGATTATTACAGCTGATTACACCTCAGTGAGCAATGTAATTGATATTTGTAAATGTATCCCAAGGAACATTCTGTACAACATGCTTTTTGCTGTTGAAGGTTAAAGACTCCGTTATTGGTTTTTCCCTAAATATGCCCACATCATTAGTTCCTCCATTGAAAAGGTTGCCATCTGGAAAAGGCAGCACAGAGACATTATTCAGGCACAAGTGCATGAAATTGGTGTTTCTGCATCTTCTGTCTTTCTCCTGCAAGGAAGCGGCTTGTAATTAAAGGCACTGGGTTTGAAGGAAACATTACTCATGTGGTGTTATTCCTTATCATGTCAAGGAGTGACAGCTCCACAGCTCTGATAAATTGTTTCTCTCAATGGAGGTACAAAACTACAATTCCAAACATTCTTCTCCCCTCTCCCCCTTTCTTCTCTCCAGCCTGTCTTTGAAAGAGTTTGCTACACTTTTCAAACAGATAAAATCTAAGAGAAAAGAAATGGATTTCTTGCTCCTCCATACCCTCTTTGTTCATAAACTTCACAAGCAAGGTATCAGGTGGGATTCTCAGTATTAAAGAAAGTTACAAGTTACATTAAAAGTCAATGGGATTCATGCTTATAACTCAGTGATAAGGTTCTGCAGATTTCATTTACAGTCTTATTCTTACTGAAGCTCCTTGGACGTCAAGAATGTCTCTACCTCAAGCAGGATTGGTTCTTGATGGGAGGGCTGCTGTACCAATATAGAAATGGCTTAATTAAGGGTTACAGCTAAGGTCTGGTAAATGAAAATAGGCATTTACTGACTAGGACAGTGTCAGAATGTTTGTAATGGGAAAGCATATCCCTCTAATAACGTCACCTCAGAGCTAACGGCAGAAAGCATTTAATAGCGTTGCTCTAGAAAGTGGAAAATACTAGGTGTGAAACCTGGCATGGCTGAGAAGATAAATGATTCATTTTCCTTAGCTGGCTTTTCAGTAACAGCCCTCTTGTTCTTACTTTTGCAAGCAACAGCCAGATTGTTAAACCCAAAGTAAATCTATAAAAGATGGGTGCGTTAATGTATCAGCAACAGCAGCCCTTTGCCTCTGGACAGATAACTCTCTGAAGTCAGGAGCTCTCAGAAAGACCTCTTGGCTGATACTTAAGTCACTAATGGAGACAGAATCCACTTCAGCTGCTTCTGAAAATTCTTCTTAATTTTGTGCAGTGTGATATTTTTGTATTCTTAGTTTTAGTGATGAGTGAGCAGTCCTGATGCACCTGCTCGAAAGAAACTGCAAGCACATTAACTCATTTAGGAGAGCAAGTTGTTTGTCCTTACCTTATCACTGAGGAAGAGTATGGTGGTATGACCACAGACCACTTGAGTTCTGCAGTTTTGTAACAACAGATGTCCTTGATTAGGGTAACAGCAAACGTTGCTTGGGCAGGCTCCACTTGAAAGTTATCTATCAGAGTTCTGCCAGTGTATTTAAGATTCCCGAGAGGAAATATAGGACATGGTCTCAGATCTCCTGGAATTAACGCTTCTCTTGAAGTCTAAGACAGACTGAGACGTGTTTCAAATGAGATGTTATTTCAAAGTTGTTAGGACTTTCCTTATTTTTTTAGATTTACAGGAAATTTACTTTTCAAAATCTTGACGTTTGTTTTATTCACGAGGCTTTTCTCTTAGGCTGGAAGCTAAAAGGGTTGCTGCTACGGAAAATCACTTACGCTTGTTACATCAAGGACTATAGATGACACTTTTCATAGCCAGAGAAAAATTTAAAAAATTTGAAAGACTTTTAATGTGCTTTGTACAGTGCTAGGACTTACTTACCTAGTGCAAATAGTAACTGTATCATAGATACAGAATCAGCTTGAGTCCTGTCTAAGAAAGGACTCCAACTCCTGCAAGCTCATCAAGAGAGAGCGCTGGGGCTTCATTCACTCCTAGCTGTTAATCTTGCTTCACATGTTTTGCAACCATTTTTAGTGGGTTTGCACTAGTGGTGGGGTAAGAGGGAGAAATGACCTATTCAAAACTAGTATGCCTGGATCATATTCACGGAGTCTTGGATCAGATGTTTGTGTGCAAAGGTGTGTGTTTTAGAGGGTTTTAAACAAACCTTTTCAAGAACTGTGTAGCGTTGAACTGGAAGAACCTTGTCAGGGCACAGAAGGCTTGGTCCCAGGACACTGAATCATTTGGTTCAAAAGGCTGAATTAGTGGGCTTTTTGACTTCTCCTGTAAGAAAGAAGCTTTATCCCTACTTGACTGACATGAATTTACAGGGACTTACTGATGGTCACCCAAGATGTCAGTGGCAAAGCTAGCAGCTGAACCCAGTGCTTAATCATGGGCTGGTACTTCAACTACCAGCTGCTGCTTTCCTGCATCGTTATAGCACCTTTCAGTAATTGACTCTGAAGGCTACACTGACCAACCTGGTTTTTTTCAAACTATACTAGACCCACTGCATCAGATGCAGAGAATATGTGTTTAATGTGGGGAAGTATGTGGGGTTGTGGG